CTTGTAAGGCAAAAAAAGCACATTTCCTGTACATCGAAAAATTTGAAATTTTTGTATAGAAAATGACAGGAAAATTTCATGATTTCCGATTAGACCCATTGACTGATGGTGAGTGCCCGCCCAAGGGAGGTTTCACTGTACGCACAATTCAAATTTTTTTAAAAATTGCTGAAATCGATCATCTAAAATCGATCTCACATTGGAAGTTGCTCAGTTGAAATTTATCTTTCGCTTGTTTTTTTGTTTTCTTTCTTGAATTCTCAATGAAATATGGTACGCATATATTGAAAATGACCTTAACACGCGTCATTAAATTCGTATTTTATCTGTATCGTTGAAGCGTTTTGTCAACGTAAACATGATTTTTTTTTTAATTGAATTCATGAATTCGTACGCACGACATAAAGGAAGAATAAGAATCTTATCTGTCGCTCACATATCGGAAATACTCGCACCTATAAATCTATATACATAACATGTGTATATGTACAAGTGGTTCTAATCTAACCACAGTCTACTGTGGTGTAGCTCTGACGTTGCACAGTGTGTTAGGTCCGCATATTTTTATGTGGCAAAGGGCACTGAAGATTGTAGCACTCCGAAGTTTCGTCCATATATTTACAGAAATAGAAAAAATATATTTACATTAACGCATACCACCCACACAAACCTAACCTCAAAAACCCTTAAAAATGTCATTAAAAGCGCAACGATGAATGCACGACTCCGAAATTACGTCCATTCATTTATAATAATAATATGTATAAGTAAATATCCTTAAAATGGCTCTAATCGGTTTATTTTGACGCACACCTCCCACACAAGCCTAACCACGAAAAGCTTAAAAAAGTTTTAGAAATCGCAAGTTCACTACATTCAAGGCTTTTCGCGAAAATCGAATGAAATGCTACCAGCAAACTTCAAAATGCATCTTGTGGTTCAATGTTACTACAACTATAGGGATTAAAGTTTTGTGAGTTAAAAACTCCAAAGGAGAAAAGATACAAAGTACAAATTTTTCATATAAAGAAAGTAGTTCAAAGTTTTTCTCTTTTTTTTACTTGTAAAATAAACATTTCTAAAATACAAGTATTTTTTGATTATTTTGAGGTTGTTTTCTTTTTTAGTGGCTTCGTTTGCTTTTTTTTTGGCGATTTCTAGTGCCTTTTTCTGCCTATTTCGTTATTTTATTTTGCCTTTTTTTTATAGGGTTTTAGGTCCTAAAAATACACTCCCTGCTCCTAATAAATATAAAAACCGACAAAATCTAACCATCATTAATATATATTTTTTTTTTCCTCCGAAATCCCACTGTGCGTCGTCCAAATAGTTATCTATGTACATTCGAATACGTGACGTAATTTGACTACTGTAGCCCGTGGTCAATGCATGCCATATTTAATCAAGATTTGCAGCGTGAACCAGAATATATATACGATATGTTTGCTTAAGCAAATATGCCAAGGTTAAAATGAACAAAAGTTTGCTTTCGACTCGAATATGGATGCTCTCAACAATGAAAGTGGGGTGGGCTATAATCTTTGGACACGCCAGAAGAAAGATGCGATCGCAAAATAAAATACCATTGACACTTTCTTCTTTTGCGATTGCTGCCACTCTATTGGATGGCGTTGGAACAGCACACTCTGCAATTGAGCTACCTTAGAGTAGGCGGGGAAAATGGAAAATCTGCCAAAGCTATGTCGATTCAAATGGCAAACATTTTAAAACAATTTGCGGTAATCCTTTGGGATGAGTGTCCAATGACCTATAAGAAAGCATAAGAAGCTTTGTATAGAACAAAGAAACATTCACGAGAGATTTTGCAAAAAAAGCATAGCAAGATAAATGCGACCCTGTGCTAGTTGTTTTGTTGTTGGAATTGCTACATATTTCTCTCATTTCGCTAGCTTCATTTTTTTTGCTGTATCTTGTTTCGCTGCTTGCTAAATATGCATGCCACCATTTTGCAATGGGGTGCTCTCATGAACGAAAGATGCGGTCGTCTAACCTAACTGCCGGAGCATTCCGTAGTTGTTACGGAAAGATCTTAGCATTCGACGTGCTACAATATACCACCGACTACGAATCTTCACATTGCATACAACAGACAACTACACTAAGCAAAAGATCAACAAATTGACAATGCCTTGGTTGATGTTTTCAACAATTATTTGGTAATATTAACCAAACTTTTGGTTGTCGATTAATTTCGTTTATGCTCTGCACTTCACAGGCGCTTTTTCATAATTCGGAGATACAAAACAAAAATTTTCATAATCATATTAACACGTTGCCTCTGACGGGATCAGCAAATAACAGCAAGCATCTCTACACACTCAGCTACAGCCGCTTTATTAATTGGTCTTTACATGTTCAACTTGAATCAATTTTCTTCGTCGTTTAATTTCGTTCTGCACTTCACGGATGCTTTTTCGTGATAAAAAATAAAAATGATTGATCGCGCTGACGGCATTCATACTGCTGGAAGCCAACAAATAACAGCAAGCACCTCTGCACGTTCAGCCACTGCCTTAGATATGAAGTTGTTCTCAAATGTTCAGCTTGAATCACCATATAAAACCATAAGTTGACTGAAAAAACCATTGTGCTTTTGGCTCAGTGTACGGTAAGCATAGCCGGCAATTAAAAGGTACGGCCATGCCATGATTCAATAATAAAAGTTTCTGTAACTTGTGATAGAATAGTGGGGAGAAAGAGGAATAATTAGATCGCCTTTTGTAGTAGACGTAGTAGCAAGTACAAAATTAGCAGTGAAATTCTGACGAATTTCCAAAAACAACGGTCGTTTGTATAAAACTAAGCAAATGCTTTTTCTTAAAATTTCAGACTAGGCATGGGTAACCCTGCGCTGCGCGGCGCTATATCGTTACCACCGCAGTTGCCGCGCCAACGCCAATAAATAAGAAGCGCTAACGCCATTAGGACCAAGAAACCGATGAGACACACACACAATTCGCCTTAATCCTTTGAAAAATTACATGCCTGTACTTTGTTTTTGCTTTTGAGAAGTGAGAGCGCCAGAAACTTATGTATCTTGGCAAATCTAAAGCTTTTACTCAAGAATGATGAAAATATCATGGCATTTACTACAATGTTAGCTATTAATTTCGGCTGGCGGTGCAAGCGTTGTTTAGCGCCCAAAAACTAATGAAATAATAGACATGACACCACTGTGTTGGGTATGACACTGTATGACGATGAGTATAGTGGTGACACTCAGATGGCGCCGTTTTCAAATCACTAGACTGCGCTATTACGCTGAGTTAGTGCGCTGGCACCATAGACGGCGCCGGAGTTACTGAGCTAGCGCCATAAAAATTGCGCTATTATACATGTCTATTTCAGACCTTTAAGTCGATTTTTTCAAATAAATTTAAGTGCAAGCTATGATGTTTAAAAAGAAAAGCAATTAATTCGTTTTTATACATTCTGCCCAATGTTTTTCTTACTGGAAATGCAGAACGTCTTAATAAGGTTTGGCAACACCACACACAACAGAAAGGTAAGCAGAGGCACCCCTCAAGAAGGGTTCCTTCCTTACCCTCTTCTCTGAAAATTGGAAGTAAACTCCTTTTTGATAGCCCAAGAAAGAGGGGGTTGCCACATCACTGCTCATGCTGAAGGCATGGCAATTGCTATGAAAGGTAAATATCCTAAAACGCTGAAAAACATTTTTCGCTCTAATATAGCCACGCTTAGAAGCTGAACTGAGAGTAGGAAACGAGGAAACACAGGCTCCACACAATCTGCCCGCTAATTTTTAAGACTGTTGAGATTCCTTTGATGGAGAACTCATATAGAGGAAAAAGTTAGGAAGGCCAACAATGCATAACATGCAAACAAGCGGTCGGAAACAAATGGGGGCTAACACCTCGCATTACAAATTGTCTTTACACCTCTGTAGTCAGATCAACACTATTATTGTGGCCATCAACGCAAAAGGCAAGCCACCCAAAACTACTGAGTAAGGTCCAAAGAACAGCGTTTCATTTCAGGTATTTTAAGTACCACCCCAAATACGTGGGCGATCGAAAGATCGGCGGTTCGGCCACGCCTCTATACTTCACACTCTTGGTAGTTATAACCAAGCAATCGACTAAGACGAGCATACCGTCCAGAAGAGAATGGCAAACCTCAAGATCATGAAGCAGGGGGGAATACAATTTTTACACGGATGAATCCAAGCTAGACAATTGGCTACAGAGTTTTCTCTAAAGAATTTGGACTGCAATTATTCGTCGGAATTACGGACCACTGATGTCGTAGTGAAGATGAAAATTGTAGGCTCGATGGCTAGCCAATAAAGGTACCAATCTCCCACTGCGCGAAAAGAGGCAAAATTGGGATACCAATGGCAACTTGCAAGTTAGCGATTCGAAATAACATGATTAAAGAGGCAAACAGGTTTTGACGAGAGAAGGGTACTTGTAGAACGGTGGTCACGGCTTGTGTAATTGGTCATTGGCTATTTGGTAGGCACTCTTCGATACTAGGAATATTCTCCCACGAATATTGTAGAGCACTTCTTCTTCGGCGGTTCCCAGATTTGGCCAAGTGAAGAAGGCGTTTTGGGTAAGCACTCTTTAGCTATCGTACGGAACGAACCAATCTTTAAGCTTCGTTTTATAAGAACTAAGAATTAAAGGTGATCATTAGCCACTTGAGGCTGGCACATCGTTTCACTAAAATTGAATGGGCTATGAAACTGTATACTTAAAAAAAAATTTAGCACTTATGAGAAAAAAGTTTTAAATGTTGATGAAAATGTGTTGAATTTTTGAGCATTTTGATTTAGACTGGAAAAGTCGCAACGCGAAAAATTAAAAGCAACTTTTTCGGTTAAAGGGTTCCACAGCGTAGTTTGTAAGGGGCAAACGCAAGTTAATCTAGTATAACTTAAAACTTAGTTCTAATAGCAAACATGAAATTTTTGTCTCAAAACTTACATCATAAAGAAAGAACAAGCTGGTTTTTTATTCAAAGTTTTCACCAAATTTATACGTAAAACGCGTTGCTTAAAATAGTTCAAAATAAAATATTCCATGCAGCTGCAAATGCCAGCAGCACTACAGCAGGAAGCTGTAACCCAGCGCTACTTTCCGCAAGCGGAAACAATTTATCCCACAAAGCATAGCGGTCCACATAGAAGGGATTGCCCATAGATGAATTCGAGTTGATGTACATAACAACGGTATTATTGGCAGTATATGGCGACCAAGTAACGTTCTCTATAACTGGTGGTGAGCTGGGGGGAAAAGGAGTTTTTATTGGAAAATTTCACTTCGTTAAGCTGAGTTCTGAGTTTTACTTACCCATTTGCGGCGAATGAGGCAACCAAATTAGTCATGCGTTCAACCATCAACATATCTGTGGAATTGTCGTTAATTTCTAGGTATCTGCGTTTCAAAATATAATTAAGATCATCCCCATGGCAGGCGCCTGTGTTTTTGAAATATATGTAGTTAAAAAATTGTAGTTAAATATTTCTTCCTACTTTCTGTACTCTACCTTGTGACATTCCAGCACTATCCGGAAACCAAGACTTTTCACCAACGTAGTCAAAACGGTAATAATAGACATTCGTGTGATCTTTTGCCAACTGTACCAATCTATACACGCCATGTCCGATAAGAGCATCCGATAGGATTTGACCGATACCGAGGAGATTATATTGGTTTATGCTGGATTCATTGTAATAAAACTGACGTATGCTCTTCGCTCGCTCATCATCGTTGCCGGTGCTATTGAATTCAAAGAACTCCTTTGCATAAAGACCAAAGTTCATGTCGATGTCAGCAATCAGATCGGTGTTGTTTTGTATAACTGCAAAAAAGAACACAATTTGTGATGACTAGTTACTCCCAATTGTACTGAATATTCAAGATGTTCCTAGAAAAGTCGCACATACTGATTTTCGGGTCATAAAATGAGGAACAGGTATAAAGCATTTCTTATTTAAGGTGCAGGATTTTGGTAGTGCTTGTTTGATGCGAGTGTGATACTGTTTGATAAAACCAAGGATGCAAGAGGCGTAAGCCTTGTTCAAGGCAAAGCGACCTTCGCCACGAAGGTAAGTTCTCTTTCCTGCTGAAAGCTACGTATGGGATAGGACCCTATCAAAAGCTCCTCTCATCTATGAGTTGTCTGGGAGCTTGACCAATTTTTAATGAGACTGTTGAGACTGGGAGTGCAATGGGGTATAGTCATTGCGCTGGGTATGCAGTTACAGTTGCATGGCTATACTCAATCCCGACTCTTGCGTCCTCGTTCGCGCACTCTGGGCAACGTGAGCAACCCATGTGCGAGATGCGGTAACCAATCCGAGTGGAGCCTTGGGTCACGGCAGAAAGAGAGGGAGCTTCGGTGGGGCCACTCTGACTTATTCGGTTTAAGGGCTCACTGAAGTCTGCAGCGTCTGTTCACCAGTAGGTGCGGCTGCAAGCGGGTGTCTGCTTGGAGCAAGCGGCTCGCTATATAAACGTGTATTTGGTTGCGAAACCACCCCCGTCCCAGCAATGGGTTGTGCGCTGGGCTTGGGACCCGCCACGTAAAAACCACTTCCAGTGAAGAAGCAAGGCAAAGCCTCGGATGAGACCCCCCCTTATGATGACGACCACGGCAAATGTTTAAAGGACTACGATTTGAGGGCATGCACCTGGAATGTCCGGACCCTTAATGGGGAAGGTGCCTCTGCCCGGCTGGTTGATGTCCTCGTAAGGACAAAAGCTGACATCACCGCCATCCAAGAAATGCGTTGGACGGGGCAAGGCAAAGAATGTCTGGGGCCTTGCGACGTCTACTACAGCTGCCATGTAAAGGAGCGCAAATTCGGAGTTGGATTTGTGGTGGGAGAGAGACTCCGTCGCCGAGTACTGGCGTTCACCCCGGTGGACGAACGTCTAGCCACAATCCGCATCAAAGCTAGATTTTTCAACATCTCGCTCATCTGCGCCCATGCCCCGACGGAAGAGAAGGATGAGGCATCCAAGGATCTCTTCTATGAGCGCTTGGAGCGCACGTACGAGCGCTGCCCCCGTCATGATATCAAAATCGTGCTTGGCGACTTCAATGCCAGGGTGGGCAAAGAAGGGATCTTTGGAACCACCGTCGGAAAATTTAGCCTCCACGACGAAACGTCCGACAACGGATTGAGGCTGATCGACTTCGCCGGGGCCCGAAACATGGTAGTATGCAGTACTAGGTTCAAGCATAAAAAGATCCATCAAGCTACCTGGCTGTCTCCGGATCGAAAAACGAGAAACCAAATCGATCATGTTGTGATAGACGGAAGGCACGCTTCCAGTGTTTTAGACGTACGCACACTCCGAGGCCCAAACATCGACTCGGACCACTATCTTGTTGCAGCCAAGATACGCACCCGCCTCTGTGCAGCAAAAAATGTGCGCCCAAATATGCAAGGAAAGCTTAACGTCGAAAAGCTGCAATCACAACAGACAGCCAGCGCTTTCGCTACTCGACTCTCACACCTGCTCTCAGAGAGCACTCTTCAACAAACCGACATATGCGAGCAGTGGAACCACATTTCCCGCTCATTAAGTACCGCCGCCGAAGAAGTAGTCGGATTTCAGCGAGCCCGAAAGAACAACTGGTACGATGAGGAGTGTCAGGAAGCTGCAGAGAAAAAAGATGCCGCCTACAGGGCCACGCTGCGATCGGGCGCAACGCGCGCTATGTGGGACCGCTATAGGGATCTGAAGAGGGAAGCGAGACGTATTTGCCGCAACAAGAAGAGAGAAGCAGAAATACGTGAGTGCGAAGAGCTTGAAATGCTGGCCGACAGGAGGAATGCCCGAAAATTTTACCAGAGAGTTAGGCGACTTACGGAAGGTTTAAAGACCGGGGCGCACTCCTGTAAGAACAATAATGGCGACCTAGTAACTGATGTCCAGAGCGTACTTAAATTATGGAGGGAACACTTTTCCGCCCTGCTAAATGGCAGCAGCACAGAAAGTTGTGGAGAAGAAGAACCCGAGCCCGCAGTCGATGATGACGGAGTCGACGTTCCACCGCCTGACTATGACGAGGTACGTATAGCAATAACGCGGCTGAATAACAACAAAGCCGCTGGAGCTGACAGCCTGCCAGCTGAGCTATTCAAGTACGGCGGCGAGGAGTTGATAAGGTGCATGCATCAACTCTTGTGCAGAATATGGTCAGATGAACGCATGCCCGACGACTGGAATTTAAGTGTGCTCTGCCCAATCCACAAGAAAGGTGACCCCGCCATTCGCGCCAACTACCGCGGGATCAGCCTTCTAAGCATAGGTTACAAAGTCTTATCGAGCGTATTGTGTGAAAGACTGAAGCCCACCGTCAATAAACTGATTGGGCCTTATCAGTGTGGCTTTAGACCTGGCAAATCCACCATAGACCAGGTATTCACAATACGCCAAATCTTGGAAAAGACCCGCGAGAAAAGGATCGACACTCACCACCTATTTGTCGACTTTAAAGCCGCTTTTGACAGCACTAAAAGGAGTTGCCTATACGCCGCTATGTCTGAATTTGGCATCCCCTCAAAACTCATACGGCTGTGTAAAATGACGTTGAGCAATACCACCAGCTCCGTCAGAATTGGAAAAGACCTCTCCGAGCCGTTCGCCACAAAACGGGGTTTCAGACAGGGCGACTCCCTTTCATGTGACTTCTTTAATCTGATGTTGGAGAAGGTAATAAGAGCTGCAGAACTGAACCGCTCAGGAACAATTTACTACAAGAGCGTGCAATTGCTGGCTTATGCCGATGACATCGACATCATCGGTAACAAAAACCGCGAAGTCTGTTCTGCCTTTTCCAAGTTGGATAGGGAAGCAAAGCGCATGGGTCTGGTGGTAAACAAGGACAAGACGAAGTATCTCCTGTCATCAAACAAACAGTCAGCACATTCGCGCCTTGGCACCCACGTCACTGTTGACAGTTACAATTTCGAGAAAGTAGAGAATTTCGTTTACTTGGGAACCAGCATTAACACCGATAATAATGTCAGCATTGAAATCCAACGTAGAATCACTCTTGCCAACAAGTGCTACTTTGGACTGAGTAGGCAATTCAGGAGTAAAGTCCTCTCTCGACGTACGAAAACCACGCTCTATAAGTCACTCATCATGCCCGTGCTGGTATATGGCGCAGAAGCATGGACAATGACAACATCCGATGAGGCGGCTCTTGGGGTGTTTGAGAGAAAGATTTTGCGGAAGATTTACGGTCCTTTACGCGTTGGCGACGGCGAGTACCGCAGACGATGGAACGATGAGCTGTATGAGTTTTACAACGATATGGACATAGTGCAGCGAATTAAAATACAGCGGCTCCGCTGGCTTGGTCATGTCGTTCGAATGGACACCGACGCTCCAGCTCTGAAAGTATTCAACTCGGAACCCGCTGGTGGTAGCAGAGGAAGAGGGAGGCCCCCACTGCGATGGAAAGATCAGGTGGAGAAGGACTTGGCTTCACTTGGCGTTTCCAATTGGCGTCAGTTGGCACAGAGGAGAAACGACTGGCGTGCTTTGCTGAACTCGGCCAAAATCGCTTAGGCGGTTACAGCGCCAAAAAAGAAGAAGAAGAAGTTAAAGAAGGAGTATGCAGAAATCATTTAATCAGTTTTGGTAAACTGCTGGTGGTTACCCGATTATTTTATCAACTGTGAACGTCCTTTTTCGCTTACTTTGCTGAGTCTGATAAATTGTGTTTATAATAAACAGCTGATTGGGGCTTTTTTCCTATCAATCAATCATATCGGTCATTTACTTCAAAGAAATGGTAAAATAATTATCACTTATCTTTTAAAATTTTCTACTTAGTTTGTACTTGTAACTTAGGTTTACGTGTGCTTAGCGTCCACAAACAAAAATGAAATCATCACTTAAACAATTTATCGATTTGCACGAGACTCTCGAGGATTATTGCTTAAACAAACAAGTAATTTTTTAGCAAAAAGCAAAACCGACACCAATTCTCGTGTAAAACTTTAAGATTACCGTTAATTTCTTCATAGTCCAATAATCGGATCTAAACCAAATTAGAATGGAACCACCTCGGAGGTACTAGAGGTTTACGCCGCCGAGCCACGCCGCTGCCGCCGCCGTGTTTTTGTCATTCTTCGCGCACCACCGCCGAATTACGAAAATATCGGCGCGGCGGCGGCGGTGTTCGGTGTTCTGCGTCTAAGGAATTTTGTATAAAATTTTCATGATGTATGCACATTCATGTACAAAAAATCTTTGCGTATTTTCATTTGACCCCTCACTATTTCTTATTTCCTCGTCGATTTTCTTCATTAGTAATTTGATTTTTTTTTTTTTTGTAACAGAACATGCAAAAATTTGGCACAGAACCTGTTATTTTTTAAATATTCCTTCTGTTAAAGTTTGATTTTTTTTTCATTTTTTCATTAAAAATTAAAAATGGCTGGAATGAGTAATTAATTTTTCAGAAACTATTAACCCTGTAGGAAGTCATGGAAATAACCTTTAATTTGTTATTGTATTGTATTTTAAGAAATATGTACCTATTTTTTATTTTTTGTTCTAACTAATAAAACATTTGAATACTTTTAGCGTTTTTTTAGCCCCAGCCATTTTTTATTTAGCTGTTTTAAGCTCTTTTTTGTCCATTTAGTTGGATCGCTGAAAAACTTCTGGCAACACTGATAACAACATATGTATAACTGATAATCATTACTTACTAGACGACACGTTTGCTGAGGTTCCACGGTGTGGATACAAGCAATTGTTTAATATGTACCGTTACTAAGTAGAAATCTCCCTTCTATGTTGCCGGAAAAGAGCAGCGGAAGTATTTTTGCAAAGAACTTCTTTCTGCGTAGGCAGCCTTCGGCCGCGCTTAAGGATTATAACCCTTACGAAAATTGGATCTCTGTCACTATATAAGGAGTGACATAATTCAGAATTTCAAAATTCATAAGTGATGGTCAAATCCCAGGAATGTTTTTTGCTCCATCGCATCGCAATGTTTCCTACACAGGGTTAAAGTTCCCCCCTTTTTGGTGAAAATTAGTAGTATTTTTCATTACGTTCGGTCATCCTTAGGAAAATTTGGCGCTTTATATTTTTTAAACAGTGGTGGGATTTGATGGGTAAGGGTACGTTCACAAAGAAAGCGGAGCCGAGCCGAGCGAAGTCTTTTCGAGCTGAGTGAAGCTTTCAAATTTCTGTAGCTATATGAAAGTGTTCATACAGCAAGCATTTTCGTTAGCGTTTTGGAGCTGAAAGCAAAGCAGTTATTGATTTTGAATTTTCTATTTAATTTTTATGTTTCAAGACGCTGCTGCAAACAAGATATCAAAATATTCAAATCAAAAGGAATTTTACGAGTCTTTTGAATAAAATTGAGCAAATATTTTTGCCGCCTTTCATTGACGGTAAGTTATGTGGTATCTTTGCAGCAGAGTCCGTGAGAAAAGCTGCGCTTCGCTTCATTCAGTGTGACCATCAGCAGCTTCGCTTTGTTCCGCCTTGCTTCGCGCGGCGCCAATCGGCTTTTTATGTGAACGCACCCTAAAACTGTTGGAAAAAAGTAGACTGCCCTTGTTTTCGATCTTCAACCCGTAAAAATCGAAAGAAATCCGTAATTAAATATAACGGTAGATAACATTATTACAAAAAGATATTAACAGCGACATAAATTACTCCAATAACTCAACTTTAAACTTTTTTATTGCTTTAAAATGGAAATAGAAAAACTCGAAAATATGTATGTATGTGTGTACCTCAGACCTTTTCTGTTCGCCCATCCATCAAGAATGAATTAAATTTTATTATAATCTGAATTGGCATGGCGAATGCCTAACGCAGACTAGATGACCTGCTAAGATTAATAGCCTCACGGCTCTTTGGAATCTGCATTGTGGGAAGTAAAAAAAATACTCCGACGAATATATAAAATCCTAATTTTTTTGAAGTTGGTTAAAAACAGAAAAAATAATTATTAATTTTTTAATAGCTATGTTTTAATATTTCTAATAAAATTTGCATTAAAAAAATCTCAGCCGTGAGATTTCTCGGCTAAATAATAAAATCGAGAACGTCATTCATGGAAGTGTGCACTTACACTGTGAGTCGAAATCGAGTTCATCTTGGGTGACGCCAGTGATGATTGGCACACGATTAATCCGGTTTCCACCTATTGCCTCGCTAGGATCCTCCAATACAAAATTGCCGTCAATTTCATAATTCCAATTTGAACCTAGAATTCCATAGGTATCCCATCTCACCGACGCGTTAGTTATCTCTTCCCAACTGATCTGCCTTAAGCAATTTACTAAATATTTAGCCTCGTACATGGGACAGCCGAGATCATATGCGAGCCTTCGGCTCCAATATTTATTGTCTAAAAGGTATTGATGTGTCGTACTACCGCTCAGTGCTATGGCACCGTGAAAGAGACCCGCTGACAATGGCGATACCAAATGCAAAGTTACTGCAAAACTCCCAGCACTCTGTCCGAGGAGTGTGACCCTATTGGGGTCTCCACCAAAGTTATAAATATGTTCTTTCACCCACTTGAGGGCCAACACTTGATCCAAATGACCGTAATTCCCGGGCGCTTCTTCGGTGCCTGTACTTAGGAAACCGAAAGCGCCGACACGAAAGAAAATACCCACTAGCACTACATTCTCATCGAGCAAATACTGCGGTCCAGCGTCGATTTCACTATTTGCGCTACCAGCTTTATTGGAACCACCGTGTATGTAAACAACCACTGGATTTGATGCCGTCTCATTTGTGGTATAAACGTTCAGCGACAAACAGTCTTCGTCCATTAAAGCGCCTGTAAGCTCCTGTGGGCACATCGGACCATCCGCTAAGGCATTTAACGTATCGTTCCATGCTTGGACTGGCTCGGGTGCCGCAAATCGCCGTGATCCGGTCGGTGCTTCGGCATAATATATACCGCGGTAGGCATAGATATCACGTCCTTTACGCGAAGTCAGTACACTGCCGCGAATCCTGCCAAGTGAAGTTTCTATGAGAGGTGCTTCCTGCGCTAAGACTGCTTGTTGGTGAGCAAGTTGCACAAAAAATAGGAAAACTTTGCAAACTAATAGTGTACTTAACATTTTAATGGTCGAGCACTGACTAACGATTTGACTAAAAGTAGTTCGGCCTAAATGGCTTAAATTTTACAGAGAAGTGTCTTCGTAACCATTGAGAGATTGTGGGGCATGTGCTGTGCATAATTTAAAAAAAAAAAATTATCAACATTCGATTTATTTGAGATACCTATTCGATTAGCTGTGTACGTGTATAAGTGTAGATAGTACATGAAAACACAGTAAAATAAAATAGGTAAAAAAATAAATAAAAAATAGAATGGAAATTATACAAAAAAATAAGCTAAGAAAATATGTATATGAAAAAATTATTATAACTAAGGGCCGCTTTCTCAAGTACATTTTAAAATTTATCTGCCCTTTAAGCATAAAGTTTGTTCTGAAAAAATGTGTTTGAAGAGCAGATAAATTTCAAAAAAGGAAAACGGCACGAAAACAAAATAATTTAAATTAAATAAAATAAAGCAAAGAAAAAGTTTTCGTTATTTAAAATAATGTTTTCTTTGCGCACAAAATAGTGTTACATACTCGTTTCAACAGTTGGCTTCCTAAAAAAGTAATTACTTCATCTACCTAATATTTCAGGTAAATCTTATTAAAAAGCTGGAAATTGTTACAAAAGCAGTTTTTTTTTTAAATATTGCCCAAAATTTTAAATTGGATTTAAAGGGTTTTTATTTAAAAAAAAAAAATATACTATACTTTGTAATAAATAATGGGCCGCACACCGTTAACCGATCTCTATAATTATTTATTATAATTATTATTATTTTTTAAAGGAAAGGTGTCACCTCACGGGTGGTCCCATTCTAATTTTAGATCATGAAGAGATTAACGATAAGCTAAAATTTCTTTATGAGAACTGAAGCCGGTTTGGTTTTTTGCTTAGAAATTACTTGTTTTGTAAAATTCTTAAACCCTCCATCGTATTTCTTGTTTTTAACCGAGTTCCAAAAAAGGAGGAGGTTATCAGTTCGCCGGAATATTTATTTTTTTGTTTATGGTTTTCGATTTCGATTCTTTTTGCATCGGAAAGGTAGAGTCTCTCAGAGACTAATCTGGTTTAGATCCGATCCTTGGATCATGAAATATATATATATATATATATTTTTTTTAAGTCGGTTTTTTTTTGCTAAAAATTACTTGTTTTTTACTTTTTTCCCTATCCACTATTCTCGCATTATTAGTTTTTCTTTACTATCTAAACGCTTTGTTGGCGTCGACATGAGTTTCTTTGAATACAGCAGCGAATGTGTTTGACATAAAAGAACAGAACAAGAAGAACCTTATGTGAATGGTCAAATAATAGAAATGGATCTAATCTAATAACAGCTACACACATTATATATATAGATACCTACAAATATATTTTTTGACAGCCGCGGAGCAGCTTTTCGGATCGCTATCGCAAGCTGCCGACGCACAGTGGTCAAAAACTGGAATTTACTGTTCAAAATAGTCGACAGCCTTCGTTTTTCAATCGATTTGATAAAATTAATTAAATGAAACAACAAGATACCTTTAGGCATTTTTTCATATTTCCCCAACAGCGGGGGCTAAAATAAATGAAAAAAAAAACTTTTTCTGTCTTCATTTGATTCTGGATTTATGATAATTTATCTCACTTCTATTTAATTTATTGACAGATTTTACAAGCGAAATGACTTGGTTTCAGCATTAATTTGCTTATAAATTGCCAATGAGCCGTAAATTGCGATAATGTGAACATGCTTTTATGTAGAAAATTATTCTCAAACGAGTTAGCTACAAATATCGTATCGGATCGCTATCGCAACGTTGCGACATTCATAATACATGTAGCACAGTGGTCCAAAACTGGAAAATCCTGTGCAAATAGTGTCAATAAATTAAATAGAAATAAGATCGTTTATCATAAATCAAGAACCAAATCAAAAAAAATCAATATGAAGAAAACAAAAGATTTTTCTTTTATTTTAGCCCCCGCTGTTGAGGAAATTTGAAAAAAATGCCTAAATACATGCAATCATTTGTTTTTTGAAATCAAGTACAAACCACACTCACACGTTCATACACGTGCTATAGCAATTATGAAAGAAAATGTGAACGTACTTGGTTTTTGTAAAGTAATTTGATCGAAACAATGTTATTTATGCTGTAGTGTGAATATAGTTTAAGAGTACCTGTTAAAATAGTGTGACAGCTGAGGCCCGAGCCCGTCGATTTGAAAGTGCGTATTTCCAACTAAAAATTTGTCATCAATTGTAACATGCTAGAGATATTATCACTCGAAAATACGACCGCTTCAGTGTATATTGATCAGTTAGTATTACGATTAGAAGAGTGGTTCCCAATAATTTTTTCTGCGGATGGCTCTGACTTATCGTTAGAACAATTTTATAAATTTTTTTTTTAATATATGTATGTAAGTCTTAGATGTTGAAACAATATTTAAGACTTCGTCTTATACATTTTCTCTGCCTTTGCTGTACATAATCGCCATTTGCTCCTATAAATTCTACACACTGCATCCCTTCTGAAATTGTTATACCGATCCCTCCTCACTTTCAGATTCGCTGTGTTTGCTTTGGGCTCCTCTGCCTATCCCAACTTTTGCGCCTTTGGCCAATATGTCGACAACATACTCGGCGAGTTAGGCGGTGAGCGTCTGTTGAAGCTGGCTTACGGCGATGAAATGTGCGCACAAGAACAGTCTTTCCGTAAATGGGCACCGGAGGTGTTTAAGGTAGGTTCGTTCGGGCTTTCCTTTAATGCGGCTTATTCCACGGTTAGCAAATAAATTTTAAAATAATCCTCTCCTTGCAGCTGGCTTGTGAAACTTTCTGTCTGGATCCGGAGGAGAGTCTATCGGATGCCTCGCTAGCTTTACAAAATGACTCGCTCACTGTGAATACAGTTCGTTTGGTACCTTCAAAGACGCGTGGCACGCTCGAAGAGTTGTTGTCCAAGTTCCACAACAAGAAAGTCTATTGCTGTCAAATCAAAGAGACACCGTTTAATCTCACGAACATTGGTAATGGCGAGAAGACCACCATACTTTTGAAGATCAACGCACCCGGCTTGGAGTATGAGCCCGGCGACCATGTTGGCATATTTCCAGCTAATCGTGCAGAAATTGTTGATGGCGTCTTAAAGCGGCTTACTGGTGTGGAAGATGTGGACGAAGTACTGCAGCTGCAGCTGCTAAAAGAAAAGCACACCTCAAACGGTATTTTCAAGTTGTGGGAATCACACGACAAAGTGCCACCTGACTCAATGCGCAATTTGCTGTTGCGTTTCTTCGATGTAACCACGCCGCCGACGCGTCAAATGCTCACACTGCTGTCTGGATTTTGTGATGACAATCAGGACAAGGAGCGTTTGCAGCTGCTGGCCAACGATTCATCCGCATACGAGGATTGGCGCCATTGGCGACTGCCACATTTGCTCGAAGTGTTGGAGGAGTTTCCCTCTTGTAAGCCACCCGCCACACTGGTGCTGGTCAACTTAATGCCGCTGCAAGCGCGTTTCTATTCGATTTCGTCGTCGCCGCGCAAAGTCAACAACGAGATACATCTGACAGTGGCCATTGTACGCTATCGCTGCGAGGATGGCAATGGTGATGAGCGTTATGGCGTCTGCTCCAATTACCTGGCCAATCTGCACGAGTCCGACGAGCTGCATATGTTTGTGCGCAGCGCGCCGAGTTTCCATCTAGCCGCCGAGCATACACGTCCGATTGTGCTGATTGGTCCAGGTACGGGCATTGCGCCCTTCCGTTCCTTCTGGCAGGAGTTCGAAATGTTACGTGAAATGAACGCCGATATGGCGCTGCCCAAAGTTTGGCTCTTTTTCGGCTGTCGCAATCGCGATGTGGATCTGTATGCAGAGGAGAAGGCGCAACTGGTGCGTGATAAAATATTAGATCGCGCCTTCTTGGCACTCTCACGGGAGCCCAACATACCGAAGGTCAGCCTTAGCAACCAAAAATATTGGATACTTATTTTTGAATTACTTAATTTAGCGCGGTTCCACTTTTTCCTGCTGACCGCTGCTGTTGATGGCTAAGCGGAATTAATTTTATTTCATTTCCCTCTCGATTTTCAGACTTACGTCCAGGACTTGATTGAAAAGGAATTCGATTCACTGTATAAGCTGATTGTTGAGGAGCAAGGTCACATTTATGTTTGCGGTGACGTCACTATGGCCGAGCATGTTTACCAAACGATTAGGTAAGTACGATAAACAAAAAAAATGTATGTATGCGCCAAGTGAGCGTGCTTACCAGAATATGAATTATTTTTGTATGAAAGCTTTCATTGGCTGGCAAGCTTCCCGTGTCCTTTGGAAGCTCAGTCGGATCCAAGTAGCAAGTCGTGGAACCTAATTTCGATGCGGATTTCTTAGAAGATGTTCATGATTTGATGATGACTTCTAAATATTTTAACATGCCAAAGTGTTAAATAAAATATTTATTCGTGAAATATTTTAATGGTGATTCGATTTTGTATGTATAGTGTACAATACCAAATATTTATGTGGATATGGATTCCGTTAAAGCACCTAGTACGTGCATATGTATGTATTTCCAACTGTTCAACATGAAAGCACTTGCAAGGTTAAATCTGCAAAATCAAAAAGTCCGCATCGTGTACGAGTGCCTTCGCAAAACATATCACTTTGTTACAAATAAATACTATCAAGTGGCGCTGAAGAACTTACGCCAGAGTTGCCAACCTGTTTGCCGCCTGCCACTCACTGACACTATTGTTCGCCAAATCGCTACTGTTTTCTGTGCGAGTTTCACCTCAGTCGAGGGTAAATAACTCTTTAAATTTTCTCAAGCGAATAACTTTACAGCCATTAAGTGTACATTTACACGTTCTGGGTGTACATACATATGTACATATGTAGTTATGTATGTCGAACTACTGAATTCACACCTTTCACATGTATTTCGCTTTTAACTTCGTAATTCTCAAATAGTTTATTTTTCTTTTATTTTATTTTTTTCTTTGCAGGAAATGCATTGCCGGAAAAGAGCAAAAACCAGAAACGGAAGTTGAGACATTTATGCTAACACTGCGGGTAAGTCAAAAACACAAAAGTACATAAGTACGCATGCAAGCACGTGAATTGCTGAAATGCTTTCAAGAATGCAGTGTATGCGAAGGCGAGGAAAAAATAACACGCGTACATACATCTGTATGTAAGAGGGAATCTGGCAAAAGTGGGTGTTTGCGCGGATGTGACTGAGTGATGTTTAAAATGTGTATATATGTATGTATGTATGTATGTGTGTGTGAGGCATGCAGCGTAGAGTTTACGCCAGTTCTTTGTTTTTTAATGCTACGACGAGTAGTTTCTTTATGTTTTTGGTGAATGGCGATTCCGTTGACTGATGTGCGTTAGTTAACACATACATACATATGTTTAGGATAAAATATATGCAAACACATGTGTTTTTTTTTGTGATTCTAGACGAGTATGTATGTACATTAGGCTGGTCCAAAATATTTTATTTTTCAGCCACTCTCCTAAACTGAGCAATATTAAAAATAAGGAGATCCGATCTTTTATTTATTTTGTAATGGTAATGTAATATTTTTTTAACTAAGCCTCCGGGTTTTGAAGTTTCGCATATATTTGAGTACATATGTATTCTATATGGGGAAAATACATTATTTCATTGAATTGTTATAAAATCGTTAAAAACGGAGATTTTTGATCGCATAAAAATATTTCCCTTCAGAAACCTCCAAACCATAAAATTATGATGAATACTTAAGTTTAAATTTTATAACATAGTTTTTTATAACCGATAAACTATAGGGAAAATTTCAAGTTTTGAAATTACACAAAAATTGCCGAAAAGCATGAACTTAATTTTAGGTCGTAGATCCTATTTTGCCAGATTAGCTCATTTTCACAAGATATTCCCATTGTTATGAACAAATAGTACATTGGCCCTTGCTCAATAGGGTAGTGTTTGGCCGAGCTTCTCCTCCGATTTGCGGCTGCAGGGGCGACCGCTATTAGAAAGCACCTTTTTATTATTTTATTTTTATTTTTTGATGTGGCTTGAACTTAGAGCTTCTGGAATGGTAACGCGCACTGTCCCGGCGACACGTTTAAATATTAACCGATCTCAAACTAAAATATATCCCTCTCCTTATTTCCCTGTTTTTATAATTCTGGAGGTGGCAGCAAGAAAATTACAAAAATTTGTTTTTCTTGTGCATTTGGGAACCGCCCTAATGTATCTACATGTCGGGATAGGGGAACATTAGTAAATTTGTTTTCTTCTGCTATTTTACTATTTTATGCTCGAGCATTCAAGCACTGCTCAACCACAATATGCCAAATGTGAGTAAAGTTTTCACATTTTGTGCAAACATTTGCGATTGTAAAGTTTCCGGCATCTACAAAGGTAAAACAGGAGGAAAATGCCGAAATAGTACTGAAATGAAATGATAATGGAAAATAAAGGTCTCGTAAGTTGACTAGCACTGCAACTACGAGTGCGCTTTGGGGTACATTTGGGAGTACATATTTATTTGTTTCAAGATGGACTAAAATAGGGGGTAAAGTACTTTTGTGTGTTTGACTTGAATGCTGCAAGTGCGACCATTTCAATTCTAGAGGCTATCATGTGAACTGTGTATACATACATATATGCATACATACATGCCATGAGCTACAAATATATACATACATACGTATGTGTTCATATATTAACCCTAGACATAGGACAGTTTTACCCTACGTTATTCGCAATATACGTAAATTTTACGTACTACACTACAATAATTTGCATTTCTAGTGCCCTGGCACCCATAGCTGAGCGCAAACCGAGTTTGTCATAACACCCACTAAAGCAGTAGCGGCTGCTTCGCGGGAGCATAGGTGGCCATTCAAGTCGAAGCTCCCGGCTAAATAACTACTATGAAATGTAATAAAATAAAGTAATAAATAAATAAAAAAAAGTAAAAGGACAAAAAAAAATGGTTTGTTTTTCTTATTGAAATTTTGTGTCCAAAAGTAGTTAGCTACAAGTTAGTTGGCATCCAAATCAGAGGAAACCAGTTTTCACTATTTTGCGGCCATTGCCCTTCAATGGTAGTTAGTTACGGTCAATGGAAATAGTTAATAAATAGTTACCACTAGTCGAATGCTAGTTAGTTAATAGTTAGCTACAAACTAGTCTCAGCTCCTTTTTTAAGCTACTTTTTTAAACTATTACGAGGAACGACTTGGTCTTATTTACCGCTTAGCTTAACTTAATTACTGTGGCCAAACAAGGTGAATTTATACAAGGTGGTAGCAGGAATACAACAACAACAACCACATGTATTTTATATTGCGGGTGTTATGTCAGAACTCAATTCGCCCCAAACTTTACATGTATTGTTATTTTTTTTTGATGGGTGTGCTGTCAAATCAGTAAAAACAAAAACAATGTATGTAAGGTGAAGAAATCAGCTGATCAAACAACACCACCTTGTATAAATTCAGTTTGGTGGCCAAATAACCATTTTGGTAACTGTCATATTAGGGGCTAAGAGTTTTCTTTAGCGCTTTCGTGGGAGTGATGCACAACGCCTCAGTTTTAAATACTTATTTTTTTTTATCACTAGCCACCATTCCAAGGCACCGCTAAGCACTAGCGGTTGCATAACAGCTGTGTAAATCCAATGTGTGGGTTGGGGATGATGGTATAAATAAATGATGGAGGCTTCGGAAGAATTTTACGCAATGTAAACACCTCAGGAATTTCATTCCTCAATGATACCATAGAAGACTTGCGACTACTCTTTAGTTTATCTTTTATGGATTCCAATTTCCTTGTTTTACTATGCGGATTAAGATGTTTTCCCAATTCTAGGGGGGGGTCAGAATTAATGATAAACTAATAATGTATCGGAAGTGAAGATTTCTATTAGCACTAGACGCCCCCAATGCAAATCATTTCGTAGCTCATTGTTTAGATACAAAGTTTCTAAGGTTTCGTAATGCTGATTACTTTGTTATTGGGGGAAAATTGTAAAGCGTGCACCACTGTGATCATAGAAGGATGGTTCCCCAATTTGAGGATTTTAATGGCATTTTCCCTAATATTCTGATTTCCAGCCGATTTTGGTACCACTAACAGCTTGGGCGGTGCTCCTTTTTTATGGCACTAAAAGGTGTTCGCTTTTCAAATCTCCAGGGCAGAAAAAAAAAATCGGTCCGTCGATAATCGGAGAGTCACATACAGATAATATCTGTCCTTGATTAGTATGAACTGAATCACTGTAAAAAACTTAAATTTTTCCATCCAGCGACATAAAGGTAGTGGTTTGCGTTTTCGTTTTATCCTCGATAAATAGTGCCAAATTTTACTTATTTCTGAAGCAGAATTTTTGCTTAACTAGTTTTAGCTTTTTTTTTTAAGAGTTTCGTATGCTTACTCTTCTTCTTCTTCTTATTTGGCGCTTACTGGTGGCTTACTAAGCTATACAAATATTTCCGCATATGTATATCGAGAGCAGAAAACTATCAAACTAGCTAATAAAACTAACCACAAAAAATTTTTGATCTTTTCTTCTGTCTAACTGCTTTCTAAAGGACGCAAATCGTTATCACGAGGATATTTTCGGCATCACGCTACGAACAGCTGAAATACATACAAAATCGCGGGCAACGGCGCGTATACGTATGGCATCACAGCCGTAAAGGAAGCATACATACATACGTATGTATACCCTGGCGTGGAAAACATTGTAAAATCACACCTGAGAAGATTATAAAGCTTAAAATTCAAAATTTACTCAAATTTCTGAACTTAAAATCAAAAATTCAAAGTTTACAATAAAATATAGCACAAAACTTACTGAAAAAAAAAAAATACTTAAATTGGAAATTATCTCGCGTGGATTCTTCGAATTGTACTAAAATATATAAATGTAATTATGTAATTATGATAATTGCACATAATCACTAAACTACTCAATTACAAATTATGCTGTTGTTATACATATATATTTGCAAAACTTGTCCACTTGAGGCAAATACACAAATTATTGTTTTAAATAATGCTACTTAGTTTCGATTTGCATAAGCACATTTACATCTACTTATGTATGTACATAAATATGTAGTTATGTATGCAGCATACAAACATATGTATATTGTTGTTAGGTATTTAAATTAAATTCGATGCTCGAATTACTTCACACGCTATCCGACTATGTGTACCTTATGCAAATACAAATACAAATATACAGACATATACATACACATACACATACGAATACATACTCACCAAGCCACATGTTGCCAAGCTTTGAGTTTGAAAAAGCACTAACACCTAAGAAAAATCGCGTTTTTTTCTCGAAAAAATCACCAAAGTTTTATTCAATACTCATTAATGGACATTATACGCATAAAAATTATTTTGTAGGGATGCCAATTTAAATTAATAAAAATCAGTGTTTCTTGCTCGACGGTCGATTTTTTTCTGTTCTCTATACATTCAATTATTTTCGTCCAAGCGACGATAACATTCTTGTTATTATTTTCTAATTTGCAACTGTGTCTGGCGTTGCCGCTTCGCTTAGATTCAAGAGAAATTTTGAAATTTTTCCCTGACTTTATATGATAAATTTTTCTTCGTTTTGCATAATTTTTTCTACAATTCCTCTTAAACGAAAGCAAAAACAAAAACTGAAGTTTCATGAGCTATGTGGTATTTTAAATCTATACTGCGGTCTCTTATGATTTCGAAATTTGAATTCCCTTTTTAACGTGCCTTATTTGAACGCATAGTGGGAAAACATATCACAGTGGTTCGAATAGCAGATCTAGCTGGACGAAAGTAAAAATTTTTTTGTTTTTAAAATACTTAATAGTACTTGGAATACATTCCTGACAATACATTCAAATATAAATTGCATTTATTAAAGCATTAACATATGAGAACAAACAAAAAAAGGTAAGTCAACGCCGCCTATTTGAGAACTCTATTTTAAAAGCTGAAATTTAACTTAAAAGATTGCTAATTGCACTCACAAATATTTGCATAATTGAAAATTGACTTTATAAACAAAAAATTACACTTATTCCGCTATAGATTCAGAGGTCATAACGGAATTTATGTTCACATTGGTATAAGCAAATTTATTCTAAAAAATCGTCGTTTTGATTAATTAAAAAAATAAATAAAAGAGTAGGAAAAGTAAAGGCCGCCGAAGGCCGTTATAAAACTTCTTGCATATTGATTTTTACACCTTCGCAGATGCAGAGGGTAAGTTCGATAGCCGAGTCTAACCAATTGGCTTAGATATTCACATTTTAGTGACGGTATGTAAAATCTCAAAATTCAAAAGTAATTATTAACAGGAATGTATCTGAATATAAATATAAGATCAGTGGCGGATCCACGGGGGAGAGGGGGGGGAGGGGTTGTGTGTTAAAACAGAAAAATACTTGGAGTTATAAAACCTTTGGTTATGTAAGAGTTAAAAAAAATAGTACCTCGCGAATTTTCTGCTTTCTGAAATTAAAAAATTATACAACAGGCATGCAAATCTTTAAGCGCTGTTATAAAATTTTTTCTGAAAATTATTTGTGTTCCTTGCTGTGATCTTAAATTTTAGTCATGGTAAATAAAATCTTAAGAAGTGAGTTGTTTGACATTTGGTGTTGCAGAAACTTCTAAAAGACAACAAGGTGTCCGTGATTATGTGATTAGTAAATTGAAAGAAATATCTGATGAAAATGCTCGTTCCGAAGTAAATAAAGTAAATTAAGTAAATGACTTTAGATTCGTAATCAGCAACCCAGAAAATCCCCAGATACCCAGTTACATAGAAATCTACCGATTTTTTTAAATTTTCGTCCGCCATATTGGATCCGCCATTTTGAATTTTTGGTAAATGACTTTAGATATGTAATCAGCGACCCAGAAAACCCCCAGATACCCAGTTTCATAGAAATCTACAGATTTTTTTTAATTTTCGTCTGCCATATTGGATCCGCCATTTTGAATTTTTGATAAGTGACTTCAGATTCGTAATCAGCGACTCAAAAATCCCTTAGATAACAAGTGGTGTAAAGATCCATTAACGAGTATTTGTTTAAATAGTTTCGTCCAGCTAGATTTGCGATCCGAACCACTGTGCATATGCTCGCTTACGATTGTCATTGTGCCATGATTTTGTTTCCATTTTTGTGAAGTTGCTAAAATATTTACGTTTGCTATTAATTTAGCCTTGGTTTTTTTTTAAGATTTACAGATTTGGTGTCTTCAAACTCAAAAAAAAAGCACCAAAAAACGCACCAAGCACCAAACTCAAAAATTTTCGCGTTTTGGGTGAAGAAAAGCATTAAATTTAGTGCAAAAAGCACTAAGTTGGCAACAATGCTCACAACACTACATTCTCAATTTGTTAAATTCTCACTTCAAACTTGCCACAAACCATAAATGTATATTTGTAATTTTTTAGTTATAATTTACCTTTTAAACTCTTAGTTATTCTAACAAAAAAATTATAAATAAAATGTCCTTACAATCAGATGCTTTGTATGAATTTCGATAAGCCCAGCTATGCACCTAAAATGTATGTAAGTATATATTCACACCAGTGATGAAAAAGTGGATACAATTGTACTTCCATTTAATTTATAAGTACCCAAATAACTTAGCAGGCAAATATTTCATATTTTCAATGGCATTGTTCATGTTGTCCGCATGGATAATGACGCTCCAGTGAAGAGATCCTTCGACTCGGCACTGATGGGCGGACATTTTTTCCGAAAATAGGCACAATCTGAAAATTTCATATTCCATCCCTGCCACCTGATAATTAGCTTTGATTACCATTCCGAATTTGCTTGAACACTGCAAAATTTAACAAAGCGGTAAGTACCAATGATATCCTGAAAATGCAAACATACAGCTGAATAAACTTGTGGTCAGCCTGTGTATTGGTTTTGGGCTGCTGTTTATGGTAATTGTTTTATCCAATTATGCTAAAATGCAATCGAGGCAAATGGTTAAATATCTATATATGAATTGAAACGTCTTAAATTGAAGTGTGAAGGCACTTAGTACAGTCATAACTTATATTTATAATAACTTTATATAATACTAGTTTAGCAGCGCCAAAAAAATTTCAAGATGCAATTCTAGCTGAATGTTCATATAAAAAACATCTTAAATCTTTCAAGGGCTAGGCTAGAAGAAACTTCAAGCTAATTCTTTAAGGTAATATTCCATTCATTAAGTCCATAAAAATAAAATTTTTTTTTTTCTATTAATATTGTTATTGAGCTTTGTACCACGATTGTTTATTAGGAAAAATGGAAAAAGCAACAAAGTTATAGCAGCTCTTTCGGAGATCATTACATCTCCTCGTCAGACTTCTTTTTTCTAGACTTCAGCAGGTATCGAACCCATGCCATCGCTGTACAAAGCCAGTCTCCGAGGGTAAGTTAAAATATGCGCTACGCAGGAGTAAACCTTCTCTTTTATATATTTAGATTACTAAATTTTATTTTGCCGCCCTTCGACTTCCAGATTACTTAACATTGTGTTCTATTGTTTGGCAATTAAAGTGAATTTTAGTATTTAGTAAAATATATGACAGCTTGGCCTTTAATTATACATACATATCGCACACCGTCTTCAAAATGGGCACAACTCAAAATTTAACGTTTGCCAGAAAATGTTAAAAACTATTTCACAGCACATGCTAATCATATGGACAAGGGATACTCTAATCTAGGGTTTTTTAAATAAATTATAACAAAAGTTTTCTCCAGATTTTGCTGAATGGTAAATAAAAGCTCTGTGTACATTTTTAGCGCATACTTTCAAAAATTACAAATTTTGAGTTGTGCCTCTTTTGAACACGGCGTGCTTGCATTTATTTCAATCAATAGAGTTCCAGAAGCAAGTACAATAAAAATAAATCAAGTACTTGAGCAATTTTAGCTATAAAACGTTGATTTAGGCAAAAAAAGTACCGAAATTGCCCATTTGTTCAATGTCTCTCAAAAAATTTTAAGTTTTTTTTTGCGAAGTTTTCAAATAGAATATTCATATTAAAGGTAATGGACGTTGGCATCAAATACAACATACATAACAATCTGTGAAGTTTCAAGAGTTTACCAGAATATCTGTCGCAACTACATATATTTTGTAATTTTTGAAATTTCAATTTTTTTTTTTAATTTTAGATATTTCAAAATGTTAAAATTAACGGTGAAAATGTTCTTCTCGCCAAAACGAACGAGTGAAAAATTTTACATGGAGTAAAAGATGACTATGATTTGAGAAAGCAATTAAGCGTCGACTCCGTCCGTCCGTCCGTCCGTCTGTGCACACGATAACTCGAGTAAAAATTTGAAATATCTTAACGAATCTCGGTACGCGCATTACTTTCGGGCGTAGGACGGATGGTATTGAAAATGGGCAAAATCGGACAATAACCACGCCCACCTCTCATATAACGGTAATTTTCGGAAATACGAAAACTGCAATATTTTAGTCACTACTGAAGATTATTCACTCAAAATTGATATTTACAATAAGTTTTAGACGAAAAAAAGAATTTTATACATTTTTCGAAAATGGGCGCAGTCACGCCCACTTATGGTAACATGTGTATACCGTGGTAACCGCTGCACCAATTTCTTCCAAACTTAGCACAGCATACCACATGGTACAGGTACAGCATACCACATGGCCGAAAATTTTTAAAATCGGACAATAACCAAGATCTTTGACTAAGATCTGTGACAACACTTGACTTTGGTGCCTGAAGTTTTCCACCTTCTATTCAGATTTTAGCTGTATTTCGAACAGAACGCTTTAAAATTTTTATCATTTTCATCACTCAGATTAGCCAGAATTTTAGGTTTTGTAATATTATAAAAAAAAAATCTAATTTTAATAATTCCGCATTATTTAATTTTCCAAATATTTATTTCACAAGTTTTGTCTAAATTACGAAACTATTTTGAAAATAAAGGATCACTTGTAGCAATAATAGCAAAGTTGCTAAGTCCCTTTTAAAAAATTGTATTTATTTATTTTTAAGGATTCGATCTTTGTTAAAAGATTTCGTACTATTTTGGGCTTATCGTATTTTCGGTGCTTCTTTTGGATTTAGCAAATTTTCCTTTCATTGAATTTAAATAAGTGCCTTTATCGTTTTTGAAACAATGCTTTTTAAATTTCTCTAGCCCCTGTATTAAAATATAGTTTACATAAAAAGTGGATTTAGCAACTTTTCACTCTAAACTAGCGATATGTACTTGATTGAATTAATTAGATGTGTAATATCGTTAACTAGTTTAATACTTAACCACATTCATTTTAACATAATATTGTAAATTTTTATTTTTGTATATACAAATTTAAGACACACATTGATATAAGTAGTACTTGTCGAGTAAATATAGTTTTTAGATGGCCTCTTTATATTTATGTTTAAGATATAATAATATATACTATTCGTGATAACAGTTTATATTATAAAGATAATTAAAAAGAAAAAATTTTACATTATTTGATCGCAACTCTCAACTTTTTGTTAGTCGAGTTAATCACTTTGGCAAGTGAAGCATTCATATACTATGTATTACTGCATTAACCACTCAATTTACTTTTAGGAATCGAATTACGAAATTTCGTAGAAGCTTTTCTGAAGAGATCTATCAGTACGCTTTATTTCGTTATTTTGAGGGCTTCTGTGGTGAATACGATTGCCATGGTAGAAAAATACCTAATCCTAATAACCTATGTATGCGTGTAAATAAAATTCATTTGCAGAATTTAGGAATGTTTGTAAACAACTTGGTCACTTGAGAACTTGTTGTTGTTGGGAGTTCTTAAAATATCCACATCTAAACTTTGTAAGGGGCTTCGCTTTATTTTTTTCTGCGTACAAAATAATGACATCCACGAAAATTTCAAACTTTATTTTTTTTTTTTAATTGCAGAAATTCGTCTAAATTTTGGTTTTTTTTTTTTTAATTTTGAAATCTTCATGGATGTGTTTATTTTGAGCGTGGGCAAAGTTCATAGCGACAGCAGAATACTTTGTATGTACTACTTATAACCATTAAAGTAACCATCACCTCGGGTAACGGTGCAGAGTCAAGAATTTTTTTTCCTTCAAAAACATAGCAGCCAGATGTAAAAAAAGGTACTTTTATATTCGCTTGAAAACAGAAGTTGTACAGTTAGCTGTAAGTACATATGCGTAATATATATACGAAGAAAATGCCTATAACTATTTATGTATCTATGTGCATTCGTAAGAATTCATAACAATAACTGCAAGTATGTACTACATTTACTTGAAGATATGTACTTATTTATGTATGTACATACGCGTGTTGATATTTAAAACGAGACGATGACACAATTCTGGGGATGCCGGAAGGTGATTTCACTGCCCGTACATATGTATGTACATGTATAAATGTGTAATTGGAATGCTTAATCACTTGGTGATTTTTCTATGGGAAATTCCCAGTTTATATTAATTCTGTATTTAATAAAAAATATTTCAGTGAATAAATAGCTAGGAAATGAGTTATTGCTTTGGTTTTATTTCCCAAGTTCGTCTCATTCATTAGTTATGTACTCGCACTAAATGAAAAGCATAAGGTAAGCAGGGTTGCGTTTTTTAACACCTTCTTTAGATTGCGTCGTAGAAGACCTGCTTGCTAGAGGGGTTGAAGAGCAGAGGATGCCGAATAATTTAAACCCAGTGACTAAGTGGTCTTCGAACAGCAATAAGGAATCCATCTTGTTTAGTATACCACACGCGACTCTTCCTGCAATTGGAGTCTTACTATTTGTGCTTTCTGATTGAGTCAAGTACTTGAGCTTGATTCTGGTGGAAGTCTAACAGTGCGAAGACAGCGAGTGAGGCATTAGTGGCACTCTGCTGCTCTATCGGCTGGAGGTCGTAGTTGGAAGTAGACACCGGTGAACTTCTACATGGACGGGTCGAAGCTTGACGCAAGGATCGGTGAAGGGGAGTTTTGTAGGAAGCCTCCCCACCGTCCTTCAAATTTAGTCTTATAGTGTTTTCAAAGCAATGGCAGCAATGGCCGACCGATTCTACGGTGCCGGAACCTAAAGTAAACATCTGCTCCGATAGCCGAGTGACAATCGGAACCTTGCCTATCTTTCAACCCAGTCTGAATAAATTCAAGGCAGACTTAAATTGCTGCGGAAAATGGCGTTGAGCCATACCATCTGCTCCGTCAGAATTGGGAAAAGATAATACGAGTCGCAAAACTTAACCACACGGGTAAAATTTTTTTTACAAGAGCTCACATGTATTGGAGTTCGCCGACGACTTCGACATCATCGTTAGAAAAAAGGGCTACATCTGTTTTGCCTTCTCGCACTTAGATAGAGAAGCAAAGCATGTGGGTCTGCTGGTGAATGAGGACAAACCAAAGTATCTCCTGCCATCAGACAAATAGTCAGAGCATACGCTTCTCGGCACCCACGTCACTATTGACAGTTTTAAGCTTGAAAACGTAGGCGACTTCATTAGTTAAGGAATCTCCATTAACACCAATAATAATGTCAGCCTTGAAATCCAACGGAGAATCACTCTTGCCAACAACTTTGGGAATTGAGAAGTAATGTCCTCTCTCGTGCTGGTGTATGGCACTAGTGCATGATGAAGCAGCCATTGAAGTGTTCGAGAGTAGGATTTAGGGGCCTTTGCGAGTTCGTGGCGAATACCACAGGCGCTGGAGCGATGAGCTATGTGAGCCTTACAATGATATATTTAGACATAGTTCGGCGGATTAAAGTGCGGAGGATCCGTTGGCTTGGCCATGTCGTACGAATGGACAGAAACGCTGCAGTTCTAAAAGGATTTGACCCAACTTGGAATTTAACGCGCTTTGTTGTACTCCGCCAGAATCGCTTAGGCGATTACAGCGCCAATAAAAAGGTAGCAAAAGATTTGAATGGGCGTTAAGCCTTAGCAATATTGCAAACAACTGCGTAGCGGAGAAGTTTGTCGGGAAAGGCACCTTTAACTATAAGCACAACACAGATGGATCTCATTCCAGTTCCGCAAAGGCTGGCCGAAAACCAGGATATGGGAAACTGCAAGTTTTTTTCTAGAGATATTGACGGATATAGTTCAATTGGTTGTCTAGCGGTTAGACTAATAACACACCGTATACCATCTGCGGCAGCTGACGTGGTAAAATCATTTCAATACTACTTTTAAACTGCTCATCTTTTTAAAGGCTGCGGAAACTTCAATCTTCGCACACAGAGTTTATCGCTAAAGCTTAGCAGTAACCAATCGCAGTGGTGTCACAAAGGTAATGGACCGATGCTGAACCTAACGGTGCGTTCATATAAACAAATAAATATGATATTTTATTAGCTTTCTTATGAAAAAAAAAAATAGTTAAGTTCAGGTACCGCTTTCAAAAGACAGATACTTTTCTCTGAGTTTTCGGTTTGAATATTCGCAGACTTTGGTTCGATTTGAAAGAGAGGCACCACTCGCATTATGGTTTTTAATTTTTTGGACAACCCAAGCTTTGCTCCAATTGGTCTAATAGTCACAAATTCTCTATGTAGTGCAAACATTTGTTTTGCTAATTTTATTTATTTTTTAATAATTTTTATAAGCTCTGTGCATCTTCATACATATTTTCTGTTATCATCGCCTCGTCTTTTTGCTTCGGCAATAACGAATATTATTGTAATTCGAACTTCAAAGCTGATTGGCTCTGCACCGCCACCAAACGCTTTCTCGCGCTTCGTATTTGTGTTTTCCCCAATACCTTATCTGCCGCTAGCACCCATACCAACAAACGTTTATACAGTCACGTGCATCAACTAGAAACCATGTGACATGAATGACGCGATCTCCACAGAGTCAGTCAGCAAAACCTCGCTCAGTAAAAGAATGGCCTGTGGTCTTATCATTGTTTTCAAAGCGGCTGTGTGCTTTGCCACGGCTGCTGTGGTTGCTGCTGCTGTTTTTTCGCAATGTATTGACGCCGTGCTGATGATGCAGCTATGTAGCAGAAAGAGGCAAACAGCTCGGCAGTTTTGTGAGTGAGTTTACATAAAGCCCAGTCACGCGCTGCTTGGGTACAGTCGGTGCTGGTCGCCAAATAAGGCAACATTTTCCAAATACGGAATATACAAAGAATATACATAGCTAAGAAAGCGAATAACGGTGCAATCGCGTTGAGTGACCCGTTGTTAAGAATTCGCTGCCACAGCGTATCCTTGAGACTTTGCAAATTTTCTGCGCGAAAAAAATTAAATTAATGAAAAAATAATTACGGGTGAATAAACGAAGACCGCGTCTTCGTGATTATATTTAAATAAAATATCAAAATTTCTTACGTGACTTGACGCTTAATAAAAAATAAAAATAAAAATAAAATATCAAAGTTTCTGAAGTGACTTGGTGCTTAATAAAAAAACATAAAAATAATAAATCGTGATCCTTAATGCTTAAATGTTTTAGCTGAGATAAAAACAGCAAGAGTTGACATTTAAATATCAAAAAAAAAAATAAAACAAAAAAAATAAGTCCTTATCTCTCAATTCGCGCTTAGTCCTAGTGCACTTCGCTACGCAAAAATGCCTTACACTACTTTGGACGATCAGAACAATCTCGGCTTGGTGATCGATGAGGAGCTCGCTCTGGAATTGGCCGAGTCACAAGCCGATAAGGGTGATGATGTGCTCGCCAATCGCTTGGAGGATATCAGTGAACATCTTAAGCAAATAAATCATCTCAATCAATATATGCAACTGACTGAAGAATTGAATGAACACAAGAAGAATGAGGCAGGTCCTTCAACTTCCCGAGGTTGTCCTGTGGCGCATATGCAGCGTCCCATTCGCTTGAAGAATATCGAGGGCAAACCAGAAGTGTACGACAAGTTGCATCTGAAGGGACAAGAGGTGCGTATGTAACGGTGTTGAGAATACAAAGAACGAAATCTAAATAAATAAGAGCAAGCTTTTAGTGTACCATTTGAAGAAGGGCTTAAGTACTCATAAACTTTTGGTCATTCATAATACCTCGCAGTTACGCGTAACTTTTACTTGCATAATAAAATAAAAATTTTAAATTTTACTTGCTGCCTTTCCATCTTTAATTGCTTAAGCAACAAGTGACATTTGCCTTCGCATTGTTCTTGTTCTTGTGCTATTCTGCTCTGGCTCTATCCACGAGAAATTCTTTCTCTTCGAATGGCTGCCTGCCTGCTGCCAAACCATAGTTTATGGCTTAATGGCCCTCAGCGTATTGCTACAAAAAATGTTACAAGTATCCCTTCGAGTCTCGTTGGCTTGTGGTGCAAGTTTGGCAGTTTTCCTTCGGTCAAAATATTTTATTATTCTCATTTGCGCTTTTAGTAGACTTTTGCCACAAAGCAGCAACACAAAGTTTGTACCTCTACGTTTCTGCTAAATTTCTAGTTTGTTGGTTTTTTATTTCGGTGAAATTTTAATGAGTTAAGAGCATTAAAATAACTAATCCTCACCGAAGGCTGTGAAAAAAATTTAAATGCTGGAATATTAAAAAAAAATATAATGCAAACTTTTTTTCTTTATTATTTTCGTATGAGCGCTTCACTTTAGGGATGCAAAAAACATCGATCCATCGAAAACATCGAAGTTTGCTAATCGATACATTGAATAAAACCGATGTTTTTAACCTTCCTGCATACATCGATGTATTTTTTTCGATGCATCGACTTGTGTTTACAATGTACACTGTACATATTTACACTTCTTCACTTGTGAAAAGGTAAAGTCGGAACTTTTATGCTCTCACCCCCTAGGATTCTTCTATGCCGAAAAAATATATTTTTTAGTTTGGAATCAAAAAATATTTAGAGGTCGCTCCAAGCGCTCAAACTTTTCCATGTATTTTATATTAGAAAAAAAACACCTTTCCATGAAATTGTATAGAATTCTTGAAAATCAAATTTTTATGAAAGTCAAACCAAAAAAAAAATAAAATTGCAATAAAAATTGTCAAATGAGTGTAGCGCATTGCTATTTGGAAAACTTTTTAATATTTCACGATACTTATAAACATTTAACAATTGTCACCACTTCAGTACCCTCCGAAAGCTTTTTTTCGAAGGCTTCTCAAGTTCTGAATTAGCAGCGCAGTATATTGCAAGGAAAACGTGTAAAAAAAAGTAGGAAATATCTATTGGACAAAAACAATCAGGGATTTGCAACTATTTATATCAATAAATATGTAGTCCTGCCCCAGAAGGAAGAAATAAAACACACATGGGGTCCTTCCGGACAGTGCCGGGTTAGATGTACTGTCCTTAGCTAGCGGAAGAAGTGCCTTTGAGTGAATCTGTAAAGTTGCATCTTGGATTTTCCACTCAGTACTCACGTATTCACAGAGCCGAAAAAACACCATCTGCCCAAAAACTGACTACAAGTATGCCATGCTTTGCTTATTCATTACCCATGCAATTCCCAAATCTGCCTAATTTAAAAGTTATTAGTGCCAATTCGATCGAGCCATAAGCTTTCCTTGTGCTCTTATTGCGACCCTTCTAATCGGTAATCCAGTTGTATGTATCACCGTGCGACAAAAGCAAAAAAAAAAAATACAAAACACATGAAAGAATCGATATAAATACTCACAAGACTATGGGCCAAATATAGTAAAACTGCGTTTTTAGTTTACGTCAGGTTTTTTATCAAAGGACTTTGAAGTTTTAATGATATGATTAATTCAAAAAATTATTTTACAAAATCAGTGCAGTGTAGAATAACAATATTGGTACCAAATGAAAGAGATAATTCTGTAGAATTTAAAACCAATAAAGTTTTTTGGTTTACAAGGACAAATAGTTATTGAAAATGCGCTTTTAATAAATTTTTTATTTTTTTTTAAGTTAATAAAGTTTGCAGGACGAAATTTGACGATGTGGTCGTGTGTATATTAGTCCTCAAACAATAATTTTTTCAAAACTAAATCTTGCAAATTTTCAAGGATATTTAGGGACAAAATTATAAAAAATATCTACAGATTTTTTTCTTTTATATGATACCCTTATTGTTATTCTACATTACAACGAATTTTTTAAGTAAGTTTTGAAATAATCATATTTTTTTAATTTCAAAGTCCTTTCAAAAAAATCCTGACGTCAGAGAGAAAAACTAAGTACATATTTTACTTAATAATTTTCTCATAGTTTTGCAAATATATTAATTTTTTTTGTATTTAAAATTTACTGTCGCACAGTGTAATCAGTCAACTGCCGTCTCACAGTGGTAAATTTAGGCGACTTAGGCGGCCAATAACATTGTTTGATCTATACCTAATCTAAATATGCAGTTTTGTAGCTCATTAAATTTTAATATAATAAAGTGCAAGATTCAAGTTGCTGAAAAATCAAGTTTATTTTCGTCAAATTTTTTGCTGATAGTGCCAAAATTTAACGCAATTTTTGAGTATTTTGAAACATGCCCTTTGTTATACCAAAATTTAATGAGCTACGAAACATTGCACTCAAAACTTTTCAACAAATGAATTGGATGGAAACTCGATATCAAATTTGCGTTCCTCGATGTGGAAGCTATTGTGCATCTGAAATCCCAATACCGCATTGTGGCATGGTCTTTCCCTGTCTAACGTATCTACAAGATGGCAGTGATATCAGGGCCCGGACATTCATCTTTTGCTTTGGCGGCCATCAGAAAGTTCATGTCGAATAGGTCACATTTGAATAGCGAGCCGCCTGCTACAAGACAAGGCTTATAGCCGCACCTCCTGGTAGATAGAGACTGCAGGCTTCTAAGCCGAAAATGTCAAAGTTTTCTCTTTTTGTTCCGTGTTCCAAGCCTTCAGATGGGTGGGTTAGCGTATCCAGTGCTTGGGCTGCGCACTTGCCAAGGATGCGTCTAGGCGGACACAAGAGCCAAGATCTTTGTGTAGCCCAAGGACTATTTCATGCCATTCAAACTTCAACTGCACTGGCAGGAAGCGCTAACATTTTCTTGATATAATTTCAAATTTGCCGTCTCAAACAAGTTCTTTATGAAAAGATTTGTTCCTCTTTCGTTTACATAGTACAGCTCAATACAATTTTTTTAAATAAGTATTAATACCTCATTATATATATTTTTTTTAAGAACTTGTCATGTTCCCAATCGAAGTGTATGGGCAGTGTCATGGGCTTTTCCACAGCCTCGTTGCAGCCACGCCAGCAAGAAGAAGTACTCGGACAAGCGAAGGACTTCTTGGAACAGTATTTTGCTTCAATGAAAAAGTAAGTACATACATACATACAATTAACTTTATCTTTGATGGTTTTGAAGTTAACAATATCTCACGATTGTAGCTCATTTATAAGAAATCATTTATAAGAATCGGGTTGGTCCTCACGTAAAAGAATAATGTTTATATAGTACTCAAAAATATCTTTTCAACGGTATATCATATTTGGAAATCGAGACATTTATAAAAAAGTTAAGAAGAAATTTCAATTTCAACGGTTTTTAGGATTCGCCAAGTCCTCTCAAAATCAGTTTTCAAACTAGGCGTGGGTAATTGCAATATTCGCGGCCCAGTCTAATTGTTTTGCTTGAAACAACCACACTTTAAGACTAAAACTAAATGACTAAAAACCTTAAATCAGCATTTGTGGTTTTTAGAGATATAACATTCTTATCGAAAACGCACGTTAGTTCTTGAAAGAAATGCACTTCCATTTAAAAAAAAAGTAAAATTAGGGATTATCAAATTGACAACAAAAATTTACAAACTATATCTGTAATATTTTCTGTGAAATTCATTTTAAGTTGTCTCCATTTTATCTATTTTTTCATCACAGAGCTTCGAGTCCCCGCCACGAGGCCCGCTGGAAGGAGGTACAGCAGAGCATTGAAGCCACTGGCGAATATCAATTAACCGAAGCTGAGTTAACCTTTGGTGCCAAGGCAGCCTGGCGTAATGCTTCCCGTTGTATCGGACGCATACAGTGGTCCAAATTGAAGGTGCGTAAATATATACGCATGCATATATTAAGTTTGTTGAATTGATAAAATAGGATTAATTATAAAAATGATAAAAGCAGCCAGGAAAAAATTCAGCTCAGTTTTCCCTAGTCTATCTTACCACAAAAGCCATATAAATCCACATTTCAAATTTTGTAAAAAAAATTTTACAAATTTAAGAAATTCTCACCAAAATTTTTGTATGAAGTTTTATAGCAAATTTCCGGCGATTTATTCGAATTTTTTTTTGTCGCATTTATTATAGGAAACTATAATCTATACCTTACTAAAACTGCATCCCGGAATCGTGTCTTTTCTGAATAACACGCTTGAAAGTGTGTAGAAAATTTGTTGAGTTTTTATAATTTTTGTACAATGTATGAAATGCGAATTTATATGGGGTTTGTTGCATAACCAACTACACTAAACGAAAGAAATATGTATAGCCAAAACTGGTCAAAATACGACGCGTCTATTATTTCTGCTACCAGTATATACATATATGTATGTATATGTAAAATGAAGCTGTTATCAATTCAACTTGAGCATCACGAGGCAAGCGCTACTGAATCTCTTCATTTTAGTAGTTTTTAAATGCTCCATTATTCAAATTTCTTTTTAATTTTATTTTATGTTTTTCATTTAGGTGTTCGATTGCCGTCATGTGACCACAACAAGGGGCATGTTCGAGGTCTTGTGTAATCACATCAAATACGGCACAAACAAGGGTAATATTCGGTAAGTGAAATATATAAATAATTATGAAAACACTTGTCTACGAAAACAAATTAATTATGATGCTGACTATAAAGCATCTTTATCAATTTGCGCTTGCACATACATACATTCAGCATCGTCACCTATTTTTTGCAGTAATCAATTATATATTAATTTTTTTGACGCCCTCAATCTTAAGTTAATTATTACGTGCGGTTGTAAAGAGCTGTTACTATGTATGCGATTAGCGCCATGGAAGCATCGCGCGCTAAAATTAATTGCTCTCGCGCAACTAGTCACGGGACATGTTCGCCTTTTGGAAATACTTATGAATACGTGATAAGGATAATAGGTGCCTCAAAATACCGCACTATATTTTTTGAGCGGAAAATAATGAAACATTTGAGGTTCAAGGTTCTACTTCTGCTTTATTGCATTATTTACTAATGCACTTATTTAAAGTTGAATTTGACCAATCATGGCACTGCTTTGCCTACTATGAGAATAGTTTGTAAAAAAAAAAACAAGTAATTAAGGCAGAGTAATTTGGTGATCCATTCACTTCAAATGCGAATAAGGTGACAGTGCTGCAATGTACGACGAAATTTAAGAAATTTTTTAACATCTTAATATCAGCAAGTTTGCACTCTAAAAAGTAAGGTGCGGAGTTTTGGCACACCCTTTTTTTTAGATGTGTAGGCATATTTCTAAAATTAAGAAATTAATATTTTGCTTTACTTGCGGATTAATAATGATATTTTTAATTGCTGAATGAGTAGATGTGCTCTAGATCAGGTCGGTCACTATAGAAAAAAAAACGTTGTTGTAGTGCATATGTTGAGAGATTTCGACGCCATAAGAAAATTAAATCGCAATAAAAAAAAAAATTTTTTTTTAAGAAAAACCAAAAAATGTATGAATTTTTTTTTAAATGGAACTTTGAATACTTTTTTTGTTTGAATTTTAACTCATGAAACCTTGCTCTGTGTAAACGTCCTATCTCAGAAAAATTTTCAAGAACGCCCTACTTCAGAAGTTTATTGAAAAACGCCATATTTCAGAATTTTATTGTATAACACCCTATCTCAGGGTTTGGTTGAATTTGGTAATTCGGTTCAAAGCAATATGCATCTTGCCGTGCAATAAAGCCATAGGAAATATAGTCATATACCTTTATTTCACTTCACATGGAGAAATAAGGCCATATGGCTTTACTTCCATGGAGAAAGTGAAATACACAGCCATAAGCAAAAATTTTAAATATGAGAAATAAAGCCACACGATCTTATTTCAATACAAAAAGTAAGTGTTGTCTCTTTAGCGGTGGTTCGCGTTGGCTCGGCACCCCGCGCTGTGCTCGCGCTCCACGCCCTGTGTCCGAACACGCCGCGCACTCCTCGTATAAAATTCTTCCTTGGTTCATTCTTCTTGCTTTTGATGATTTGCGTATGTACATACATACATATATGAGGGGTTTTCTTTTAAATCAGTAAGATATATTTATACATCTATATTTATATACATATGCATACAAGCTTGAGTGCTTTTCGTATTTGTGATTAAGAATTGTATATATAAATAGCTCAAGGTAATATGAATCTTACCGATTTAAAAGAAAACGTCATATATAATTATAATTATTACGAAGTATAACTAAAGTGGCAGCACTATACGCCATTTTGCATTTTCGCGTTTCAGTTCGGGAATATTGTTTACTTGTTTATTAATAACAAAATAAACAATCTTTTGTTTTAAAAATTTATGCACTTTCTGAACATGTTAAAAAAAAAAATAATAAAAGAGAATATTAGTAATTTAGTGAATTTTTGAGCGTGCAATTGTCATAATAATGTCAATATTAACCCTCCACCTCCGACTTGTTAATACAGGGATAAAAACTCTCCGATTGGTACCCCTCCTGACATATTTTTTTTGCAATTTGTACCTTAAACTAGAGAATTACTGAAATTTTGACTTGGAAAGTGTGGGACTTATTCCTTTTATTAGGTTGTCGCTACCTCTGAAAGAATATGTCGGAAATTACACTATTATAGCTTTTGAGTTTTTTGTATAATCATTATTCTTAAGTGAAAAAATAAAACTTAAAAATAATTTTTATTTTTAATATTTATTTATTAAACTCGAGAAATAAAAATCGTTTTAAATTCCATTAGGACGTATGAACAAAAATGCGTGAGTATAGTTAAAATTGTTTTACGACGGTTATTACAACTTGTTGATTTTTTAGTTAAAATTAAAAAAAAAAATTTATTATTTTCCTTCCCTGAATTAAACATTACTTACACTGCTATAATTAAATACTAAATTTTCACAGCGCTACTTTCAGATATGTAACTTTATTATTAATACTTATTAATTTTTTATTTTTTTTTTTTTAAAGGCAAAAAAGAAACACGAAATGTTTTTACTTGAATCAAGGAAAGATCATGGTCATTTTGAATCGCAAATACTCTATCTATTAGCAGAAGAAAGGCAACTTCGATTAAATCCGTCCCCTGGTTATAACTGTTTTGTCTTTAGACAAACTTTTGATTAATTTTAAAGTATGTATGTATGTAGTTGAGTTTGGAGAAATAAAAGACTGGCACTATAAAATAAGTTGTTAAATTTTTGTGCTAGGAAAAACATCAAAATAAAATACAAATACAAAGAGAGAGGAGGGTACAACTAATCAACCACGAGAAAAAAAACTTTGAAACTCCAAAGGGTTTCGGAAGGCAATATGTGACTCTAATAGATGACATAGGTTATATGAAAAATATATACGCTGCTTTTAGAAGGGTTTGTTTCTTTCGAAGACGTAACCCTCCAGTCTCACAATACATGGATGCTGCAATGAAAATCATAATCGCATACAAACACAAATCCAAGCAAATCCCCAACACACTCAAACTCAATCGTTTCTTTCTTTCTCCTTCACTCCTTGTTTTTCTATTATTCTAGAGTTGCCAATGCGTATTTTCTTATTTAACTACTTGTATTACAACACGCAGGTTGCCATATCTTCGAACTTAACACAACTAGTTCAATTCATATTTAATACTTAACAGGGTTAAAAAAAAAATTTTTTACGGTGCCGAAATCTTCTCAACATAAACTCTAAATATAAAGATGGACATTTACAACATTTTTTTCGACTTAGTCTAATGTGAACTTATATGCGCGTGCCGATATTTGGCCCTGGACAATAAAAGATTGTTTGAAATTTAATTTTAATTTATTTATAAACAGAGTGATTTAGCAGGGGGTTTGAATAATAAGTAAATGCATTAGTTTGTAGTTTAATGATTATTATTCGCAACTTTTTTAATTTTTTGCATTTCTCGCACTTGGGCACCAGGGTTTTATAACTTTGTTCACATAACGGTTGTTTGTAACAGCCAAAACGAATCGAGATAGATATAGACAAATGTATACATAAATGATCAGAATGAAAAGAGAAATCGATTAAGCGGTGACTGTCTGTCCGTCCGTCCGTCTGTGCACAGGACAACTCGAGTAAACATTTAGATATCTTAACGAAACTTCGTATGTGTACTTCTTTTGACTGTAGGACGGATGGTATTGAAAATGGTATTGAAATGGGGAAAAATAAGAATATTATAAATTTTTGAAAAATGGGCGTAGCCAAGCCCACTTATGATTACTTGTGTATATCTTGGGAAGCGCTGCACCAATTTCTCCCGAACTTGTCACAGTTTTTGCTCTTGGTAGAACATACCAACGGCTGAAAATTTTTAAAATCGAACAATGACCACGCCCACATCAAATATAACGGTAATTTACCGAAATACGAAATCTTCGATAAAATTACGGCCACTCTTCATATAACGGTAAATTTCAGAAATGCTTGAATCTTCGACACGCTAGTTTACTCAAAATAGTATCAATCCCTTGAAAAGAAGTAAAATTTTTATGAAATTTTGGAAAATGGGCCTGATACCGCCCACTTATAACTATATTGGGTCACTAGACACGAATAAAGGTGCGAGCTCAAAAGTTGACCGCGAAAAAAGGAGTATAAAAAACTTCAGCGAAGAAAGACGCTTTAAAATATTTGACGGTGAAGAAGGATGCGTAAACTTATTTTTGCGGTCAAATATTTTTGCGAGTTTAACAGTATGTAAATTCCCCAGTATTAGAACTGTATTTTTTGGCATGAAAATTATCATTTGCACATTTAGTTGCCAGTTGAACTTACACATCGCACAAGATCTCCAAAAGTGACACAATTCAAAATTTGGCATTTTTGAAAAATGCACTTTACCTTTTATTTACCTTTAAGCAAAAGCTGAAGCAAATTTTTGTTATAATTTGGTGAAAAAAACCTAAGGTTAAGTCTCCCTTGCCCATATGATTAGCATGTGCAACGATATATTTTTTTCGCATTTTCTGGCGAATGTGTAATTTTGAGTTGTGTCACTTTTGAAGATCGTGTGCGATATGTATGTTAAAAAATCATTAAAACTCTTAGGTTTTGTGCCTGTTTCTAGCCAGTTATGACTTTAGAATTCATTTAAGACCTATTATTTTTAATCAGCGCTGTCCTGCAATAATCAGATGACAATTTCATTCAAATATTTTTTAAAAACATAAAGTCACTTTATTTAGTCATGTTTTTAGTGGACCTACATAGAGCCGCTGCCTACTCATCGGCTTTCAGTGTAGACGTATCTCAGCGTTAAAAATGCTTCAGTAGTCCAGGAACTTTTAGGAGTGTTCAAGCTCAAGCTCAGGGAAAAACTGTCACTGATTTTAGATCTCTCCGCGGTACCAAGAGACCGTATAGCCTTTTTGATCCGATGACTGCTGTCTAGATCTAATAGTTACCTGTGCCGAGGGGATAGAGCGTTTTAAGCCATTGGATGCCTTCTTGACCGCTCTTTATCCGCTCTTTAAATTCAACCTCCATGCCAATTTAATGCCCATTCTAATTTCTGGATGTGTGGTAAATGATTGAAGAGGTAGCCTAATATTTCACAGCTTGGGTGGAGACCACACATTCTCTCCTCAAAAGTCTTGAAGTGCCTTTTGTTTGTGGTGTTACTGGCGTATTTTTTGTTGACGTCTAAGCGGTCGATTTTCTTTCTTCTGAATAAAAACACAAAAATGTGGATACGATGAAAGCGAAATATGAAAAACTCCTCGATTGCCATGACCGTGCGTCAGCGCGGTACGGACTTCTTGAAATATACTCTCAGATATACTTTCTTGTAAAAAGCGCCAAGTCCAACCTTCTGCATTTACTCCAAGTTCCACCTCTCTTCATTAGCTGTGTGTAGCTTTCAAAGTGTTTCACTCGTAAAGCTTAGACAACAACCACAGATGGTATAGGCTAAATCATCATAAGCTGTAAATCTAGGAGCCTTATTTTGTTGATAAGAAGTGCCAATATCAATAAGGATAGAACATCTCTCAGCAGTGCGCCTTTATTTACCGCCCCCGTCCTCCTCATTGACGTTTGCGTAAGGCTACAAAAGTTTAGAAACAATTGCTTCATATAACGTTAAAATTGTCCTGAGCGTCCTTCAGGAGGTTGATGAACTTTTTGTTTTATTACAAAGAAAGTAAATAAAAATATTTGCAGATTTTTATTTTTATTTTATTTTATTGCATTCATTTTCTTCCAGTTCGGCTATTACAATTTTCCCTCAACGCACCGATGGTCTTCATGATTATCGCATCTGGAACAGCCAATTGATTTCATACGCTGGTTATAAGCAGAGTGATGGCACCATTGTTGGCGATCCAATAAATGTTGAATTTACAGAGGTGAGAGTTTCAGAATTTTTTTTTTGGGTACATACAAATGCATATACATATCTGATCGTTAATAATCAAAGAGCGCAACTTATTTATTGATTGGGCAACATATATTTTTAAGGTGATAAACATTTTAACGATTGCTGAAATGCATAATACTTTGGAATAATAAAATGATAATACGAATATTTGAACAATGTCAAAACCTCAAGTGAACGCATTTCAGTGGAATAAAAATATTGATACCACTTCTTTCGCAATATTTTTAAAAACTTAATTAATTTTTTTTTGTGAACAAAAGTTTTTTATTATTACATTGTTATTTACTTTAATTGTAGGTTTGCCTGAAATTGGGTTGGAAGAGCAAAGGCACAGAGTGGGACATTCTTCCACTGATAGTCTCGGCCAACGGTGAAGATCCTGAATTATTCGAATACCCACCGGATTTGGTATTGGAGGTGCCCTTTTCACATCCAAAGTGAGTAAAGTTTTTATTTTCTAATAACAAAAAAAAAAAGAATTAAAAAAATACCTGACACCAAAATATTTTTTTCTTAAAAAAAAAACCAATTACCGATTTGAGCATGCAAAGTAATTAAAGAACAAATAGTAGATTGCAGTACATGGTTATGCGTATATGCCGGTATGTATTTACGGTGTTTATCAAAACTATACGACACCCACATATTTACAAGTTTTAACTATTTATTTATTATTTAACTTCAATTGCGTTTTATAAAAATATAGTTCATTCTTTTACAAAAATCATACAGATCCAAGTTTCAAACTTTGTACAAAAATTAAAAAAGATCAACAAAGTTACATCAATATTATATACAATTTTTATTCAAATTTAATTTAATAATTTAATTATGCAGTTTTATAGCCCATTCAGTTCTGGTGTTAAAAAGTTTAAGTAGCTACAAAATATTGTGCATTCTCGGCAATTTGCTTTTGTTGCCGGTTTATACCAAAATTCAATGGACTATAAAACTTCATACCCAAAAATAGTTAAAAAGTGTTAAATATTGATGAAACTTTTTATTTTTTTTGTAGAGTTTGGAAAATTGATTTCTATGGCTTTTGTTAAAGAATGAACTATAGTTTTATAAAAACATATAAATTAATATGTAATAAAAAATAAGTATTGAAAACTTGTCAATTTTTGGGTGTCGTATAGTTAGCATAAGCACTATATAGCATTCATACATATGTATGTCGTTCCAAACCGTTTACCATACATATTCATGTGTGCATATACATACATACATACATAAATATGCCGATATAAAAAGGAAGTCCAACAAGTATATTCGATTTACAACTATAAAAACCGCAACAAAGTGGCAATTAAACAAAACAAAAATGGCTTCCGAAAAACTGAAAAAATGCAGCAAATGCATCAGCATGTTTCATATCATTAATGTCAGTGTTGGTGTATATATTTCTTTACGGTTGACAAACGCACATTGTACTCGTAAAATGCCAGCAGTCCATGAAATAGTTTACAACCGAATTTTTACACACTTTGTTTGCCATACTTTGCCACATACCAGCATGGCATACTTGGCATGCGGGCCTGTGGTGCATGTGGTGAATGAATATATGTAGATATATATATTTTATGGTGTCCCTTTGATGACATCAAATGTTCAGGAGTTGCTTCACAGAATTATCCGCTGAAGTGCAGGTTAAACTGAACTGACATTGAAAGATTTTTTTTTTTCCTACCAAAAGCTGTTTCAAAAACCTACCAAAATGGCTTCATGCCTGCCAGGTAAGCAAAACAGATCAATTTATATTTTTTTTTATGATTTGACCGAAAATAAAAATAGTCTTCGAAAGTATCTACTGACCATGCTGGCACACTTTAAAACAAACCAGAGAGGTTTTCTGGGTGGATGGAATCAAGAAAGCGTGAACTAAGGCCAGCTTCTTATTTCTTCGGCAGCCTTATTTAATTTTTCAATCGCGCCCTAATCTTACTTTTCAAAATGCGGCCTAATTTAATTTCTTGATTGCCGTCTTAATGCACGCGGCGGCTATAATTCACGGAGCTGGTTTTCTGTTTCATGAGCATGGAAACCTACCAAAATTTGAAGCGTCCTATCATCCTACCATCGAGAAATAAACCTACCAATTTTGTTAGAAAAGCCCAAAACCGAACCCCGACACTCATCTAATTTCACTGCGTTTCGCACTTCGATTTTCGTGTACTTGTAGCATATTTTTAGGAGTTACATTTTGTTTATTTTATCAACTGTTTTTTTATTTATTTATTGTCCTTTCCAGTTATGAGTGGTTCGCCGAACTCGGTCTGCGCTGGTACGCTCTGCCCGCTGTCTCGTCGATGATGTTCGATGTGGGTGGCATTCAGTTCACCGCAACCGCATTCAGCGGTTGGTATATGTCCACCGAAATTGGTTGCCGCAATTTATGTGATACAAATCGACGAAATGTGTTGCAGGTACGGGAAGCTAATTAAGCGAAAATAAATAGATTGTATACATAAATAATAGTATTTATGTGTATATCTAAATAATATGTGTATATTATTAGACATAAGTAGTTGAATACTGCAAATAACTTATTATATGGAGGAAGTTATTTAAATTTTTTTTTTTTTGCAATATGAACAATCATACAGATATGTATGTATATATTAAAGTGCTCATTTGAAGCAATGTTTTGCAAAATAAACAAACACAAAAAAAACATTTCAAATATACCCATCGAAGATTTTGCAGAAAACTAAAGCTTTTGTCTTAGCCAATGCAATTTTTAGGCCTATATTTTTAGGTCCAAACAACACAGAAAATCTAACATACTTTATTTTCAGCGTTCTGTGAAAAAAATTTTGTAAAAAAACATTTGGTCTTAAAGTAATAAGCCTAAATATATCGCGCACGACAATATTACAAAAGTTTTAATTTTCTGTTGATCGACCATATATGTATATGTATGTCATACCACACACATTTTTAAAAACTATTTTTTACATGAATTACTTTAACAAATATTATAACTCCTTTTTTCTTTTCCGTTTCAAGACCGTGGCAAATAAAATGAAATTAGACACTCGCACCACGTCATCCCTGTGGAAGGACAGAGCTTTGGTAGAGGTGAATTTAGCTGTGTTGCACTCTTTCCAAAGCCGAAATATAACCATTTTGGATCACCATACGGCCAGTGAGAATTTCATGAAACATTTTGAAAACGAATCGAAAACGCGGTGAGTGGTGATTTAGATATAGGAAATTATATGCAACTTTTAAGTAACGGAGGGTAGATCGTAGACCCGTTCGAATGCCTTTTGTCCGAAATTTGTAGGCCTCTGTGATGTAGGGAATAGGGGAAGTACATACTACCATTCCGCAATACCTGGGTTCGAGCTCAGATTTCGAATAAAATCAAAATCTAAAACAAGAAAAAATTCTTTGTAATAGCGATAGCCGCTCGGTTGGCAATGGCAAACCTCTGAGTTTATTTCTACCATGGAAAATAGCTTCTCATAAAAATACGCCACTTTTTCTATATGTCATGCCATGAACGAAATAGTTTCATCCAAATAAATTCACCCATTAGATTCAATAGAAAACTTTTTTAGATTACGACATTTATTAGAAGGAGACAAGACTTTTTTTGTCATATTTAATATACCTCCAGTTAGAAGAATGAAATATATTTTGCATGAAATTTAACGTGTTAGGAAATATTTCGCGAGGGGTTGACTGAAAAAATCCTGACCAGGATATTTTTAAGTAATTAAATATTATAAAAGTAAGTTAAGTAAATCTAAAATCTATTTTGTGAAAACCACTCTTACCCTGGCATTCAGTAAGCGGTCTCTAGTCACTAATAGTGACTTTTGGTGGTGAACTTGGATTTTGACACTATTTCGTATTCAGTACGCTGTCTCACGTCTCTAGTCTCAAAAAAAGTCACTAATTTGTCAGCTGGCTAAGACAGGTCTCAAAAAAAAAATATGGAGAAAAAGTTAATTGCTTTCCATTTTATTAAAAAAAAAAACCCGAATATGAAGCGAGGAAATTTGTTCAATAAGAATTTCGTTAGGAAATAAACCAAAATGCTTTAATATACAAATCCATTGAAAAAATATTAATTTTTTTTTAACATTAAAATCTAAAGATTAAAAAAAAAATAAAACTAATAAAAAAAGAGAAAAATACTAAATAAAAAAATAAATAAAAAATCCTCTACGCCCGAGGAGTACTCGAACCCGGACCCTCTCGACCGGTAGCTTAATGCTTTGACCACTCGGCCATTGCGACTATTTGGGCGGCGCGGCAAAAGGCATACGTAAACGCTATCAGTTGACTGTCTGTGTTTGTTTTTACCATACATTTTTGGTAAACTTTTTGTGACTCTCTCCTACTGAATAGCCAAATAATCTCAAGTCACAAAAATAGTCACTAATTGCTTATCTCAAATTTAGTGACTTGAGATGAGACTGAATTACTGAATCTCAGGGTTAGAGCACTTTAGATTTTGCTTATTACTTTCTCTTATGCATACATATGTACTTCTCAAACGGTGAATGGAAATATCTACATAGTATTGTCACAAATTGTTAGCAACGCAAACTCAGTTCTTCAAGCTGTTGATTTCAATATCAATCTATTGGGTATTAGTTTCTGCTTTCTGCATCAAAGTAATATAGAATCTGTACTCATAAACATGCACAAACAAAGCAACAAATCAGGATTAAATTATTTCTTTATTTCTTGTAATTTCTCATACTTTAGCAATGGCTGTCCGGCTGATTGGATTTGGATTGTTCCGCCACTTTCCGGTTCAGTGACGCCTGTCTACCATCAAGAATTCGCACTGTACTATCTGAGGCCATCATTCGATTATCAGCATCCCGCCTGGAAGGTGCACGTATGGGAGAAGGAACGTGGTGAAATCAAACCAAGACGTAAATTCAACTTTAAGCAGATTGCAAGGTAAAACAAAAAAAAAAAAAATAAACAAATAGCAATTTAAGATAAGAAATGTATTTATAAGCATGATGAAAAATAACTTTACTTGAACAAATGACGCTAGAAAGCAAGTGTAAAAATAATAACAAAAAGTCAAAAGCGACATGCAGAGTGCACATCAGCGTCTGTTGGACTGGACTTCGTTTTAAGCAAAAAAAAAAAAAAAAAAAAAAAAATATGCTACAACTCTATTGTTTTTAAAATACGACTAGTTTTTAGCAGATGGGTTTCATACATATATATGTATACATTATTTGTGTAGGTAGTGGGTGTTTTGTTTTTTTTTCGTTTTGCTGTCCGTTTGCCACATTTACAAGCAGATTATCCCTTAAGTGGATTACTTAGCTGTGCACATGAAGTCAGACATCCGATATGGAAATGTGTATGGAAATGCGTGCTGCATATACATCATACATACAAATTACTTGCTAAAATTTTCCTTTTATATGTACATACATACATATGTTCGTAAATATACTTGCATGCAAAGGTAAATGTGTCAATTTCCTGTAATTCTGTTTTAAAATTGTCAGAAATTTTATATTTTCAATTCTTATTGCCAAAATGTATACGAATGTGGCAATAATCTCTTACATAAAATTAAATCAAAATATCATTTAATACGCATGCAGGATGCACTTATAAGTATGAATGGTTTTTAATTAAGGAAAACATGAAGTTAAATTTTTAACGCTTTAGAAAAAAATTCAATAAATTCGGTGTAATATACTTAATTAATTAATACGAAATTGCAAAAAGGAAGGCGCTGTGTGTGAGCTGCAGTGTTGTAGAATTTGAGTGCTTTAAACAGCTTCGTACGGAGTCGCCGTAAAACTATAGGTCCCTCCCCTTTGTGTGACAACACCAAGGCGCTCGCTCACCACAAATCGCAGGAAAAGCTCGGCCAAACACTAACATAAAAGGAGGTCGGGCATACCCACATACATATTGTAAGGGAATTAAAAATCCGCAGCTTTAAAAAAAAATCTTTTTTACAAAGTTTTATTAAGTTTCGCCTGTATGTAATCAAATCTTGCAATCAATTTTTAAACAACTTTCCCATGAAATCTCTCTCTAGACTTGAAACTTAGCCCAGAATTCGATGACAATCCAATATGAAAGATGAATTAGGTGGAGGCAAAATTTTTCCGTTAGGTGTTGTGCGTTCGATTTTTCTTTTTAACCGACTTCCAAAAAAGGAGGAGGTTATCAGTTCGTCGGAATATTTTTTTTTTTTTTTTTATGTATGTTACCGCATAATCTGGTTGAGATCCGATCAGTGATATATCATGAGATATATATATATATATTTTTTTTATATGGGAGTTGAAGTCGGTTTTTTTTTTTTTTGCTAAAAATTACTTGTTTGTATTAAAGACTAGTAAAGGCAAATAAAAACGAATGCAAAATCAAAAATTGTGTTTGATTTTTATGTGGCCTTGAGCTCAAAAAATATACATACAATATTGTTTATACCCAACGGCCAAGAAATTTTTAAATACTTTTTTTAAATTACTTACTTGATACTTCTTATATTTAATCAACGAGATCTCCGTAGTAAATAATTTTTGCTTAATATTGTGTTCCCTTTCATTGCACAAAAGAACATTTGATAATATTTAAATCCCATTTTAATTTTTCAGAGCTGTGATTTTCACATCTATCCTCTATGTGCGCGCTTTGTCTAAGCGTATTAAGGCTACGGTCCTCTATGCAACTGAGACTGGAAAATCGGAGCAGTATGCCAAGCAGTTGGCTGAATTGCTGGGACATGCCTTCAATACACATGTGAGTTTAAATAATTATTATTTAATTTTTTTTTTTATATTTGTTGGAACGGGTAATTAATATTTTTGAAAGCATTTATCGAAACAAATGCCTAGCAGGATATATGTACATAATTATATAAGTCTATATCTTTCTATCGATTAAGTACTCCGTTGCTCTTTTTACAAATCGCATAGTCTTCCTCTTCTTCACCACTTGTGGCAATTACTTCGGACCCTTTTAGTTTTGTGTTATAAAGAATTCCTTCGACCTTAAACAAGGGAGTAATTTCGTAATTATACGGTAGAATAAACACTTCATCAATAAGTAATCTCGTGCATACAGCAACACCATTAATAGTTCGGGAAGGGTTTATCTTCGGTGTACTCGGTGTACTTTATTTCTTCCAATTGGTAAAAACCTGATCCTTGTGCCTCTATCAAACAAAGCAGATACCGAAACAAATGGTAGTTTTATTCCTTTTCATCTGACTAAAATTTCCATAATTTACGAATAAATCAAACCAGATTATTGGGTGTAAAAGATCTTAGCTACGCGTATCACAACAAAACGCTGCCAAAAGCATCTTACCTGATCCTTGCTAAGGCAGGATCAAAGCAGGAAGCCCAAAAAAAGTTTGTCACGTATGCCGATTACAATCAGATGTTTATATCAGAATAAGTTACCGACAACCGCACAAAAGCTAAGTCTTCTGAGATTAGGTGACCACCCGCAGCACTTCGATGCCTTCCAATCGATGCTAACAAAATAATCAAACTGTTTCTGACGATGGCTTTGATGGCCTAAAATTGGAGTGCTATAACTTGTTGCGGGTCCAGGAATACGCTCTGATTTTACTAGTCAACAGGTGAGGTCTTCCATATGATGAGATCGCTCTGCTTATCAACATAATTTAGTTGGGACTTGCATCGCTCAACTGGTATGGAAGTAGTTAGAGGGCTGACCAATGCCTTGAGTGCAGCTTGACTGTGAACAGACATGTAAACTCCTGCATATTAACGCATTTTTGCAATCGTATCCTCATTATCTTTGATATCAACTCTATATTCTGGCCTAGTGTCCATTTTGGAACCATTCGTAAAGACGCAATTAATTTATAACCTCTTAAGGAGAGTTAAAGGCAATCTACCTTAGGGCATACCGTTGCAAGCTGCAGGTTTTGGCAGTTTATCAAGAGCAGTTGTAAAGACGTCTTCCTTACTGTACACAATGATATTCCTGGGAAGTTAAACAAAAAGAATTGCCAAGCTATTGATTAAAATCTGCTCCATCATACCATTGATGCATAATTGACAATGTATCTGAACCCAGAACTATAAGTCCAAAAAATATCTCTTAGGAAAAGATCCCAGATTTTGGGTAAAAGTTATTTATTGCCAGGCTTTTTGCTCTTTTTTTATGATAAATAGCATCGAATCGTTCAAAAAAAGGGGTACAAGGGTGAATTTCACCTCCAACATCAAAATTTAGGGCACTCAAATGAGTAAACGTATTTTCACAAATAAAGTTAATAACGCGAAGATAACCTTTTGGAATCTTCACTTTCCAAACCCACAAAATTTTAGCCGAGTAACAAATATCGGTATTTTGTCCTTAAATGTTTTACGCTCTTTCACCTTTTAAATGCCCTTTAATATGCAAGCAGCGAATAAATAAGTACATATTAACAGAGATGTACGTCTTTGAAGCCTATTAGTAAAAACTACTTACTTCCCTCTCAACCCAATGCTATGTATGCTCTTAACGTATCGACTGATGTCCTAAAGAGATGCCTAAACCTTACCAAATTACCGTTAAAACGAAGTATGTGTAACAACGTATAAAAAAATGCATAAGTACATATTTACATACGTATTTATGTAGCTCCGCGAACGGAAAGGTAAAAGTAATAAAACATCCCTCATCAACTTTGCGCTGACAACTCACTAATCACTCTTCGACTGACACACTAACAACTTACATATTTCTCTATGTAGTTACCAACCAGCCTGTTCTGTCTGCCCTGCAGTGCAAATAACGTTGAGACCTTCATTGCCAATAAACACGTAAATTGCCACTTCAGGTGTGCAAAAGCAGGAGAACTAACGGAACGGAGACAGAGATGGCGGGTGCGTCGTTTGCCTGTTTGTTTTAGGGTAAACAGCTTAAACGATATGTCTAAATAGCCAATTTAATAGACATTTGGCTCAGACCCAATTGATCGATAAGTTGGAATAAAGTGCAAATCTTACAGTATACATGTGCATATAGACGTTGTATGTTGTTATTGGGGTTGTGTTAGCGGCAAACTTGTGGATGCATGTAAGTAAAGCTCAGAGGCATGAATGCGCCTTTTGGTTTCAAAATAATTGATGAGCTTATTTGTTGACACACGAATGGTGATCAAACATCTGGGCGGCTGTGAGCAAGAAGCACACTCATTCCTAAAAGTGAGTATTTGCCAATACTTACAGATTACCAGACACATTTATAAGTAAATAAAGTTCGTTTGGATGTATGGCAGGTAGATTGAACTGCTTAGATATGTTGTCTTTGAAAAGTGATTAAATACCTGTGTAGTCTTGTACACATACTTATTTATTAGTACATCACAACTATTCATTGGCTATGTAGTGTAATTAAGAGGTCAAAGAGCAAAAAATCTCAAATCTTGGAAGCTGATAAATATTTACTTTCCTAGTAAAGCACAGAAAATTATTTGTTTCGAAGGCTAACTACACTCACGAAAAAAAGTATTGGCACAGCGAATTTTGCACAATATATGCACAAATTTCTAATCTAATATTTTTCCGCTTATTTCTTATAAAAATATGGTTCATTCTACAACAAAGGATATATAAATATAATTTCTAAACTTTTTGCAAAACTCGCAAAAATTCAGCAAACTTTCAACTTTTTAATCAGAATTTTTATAATTTTTTTTAACATGCAGATTTGTAGCTCTAAGTAGCTACGAATTACGGTTGATTTTTGCTATTTTTTTCACGCAGTCTCTACCATACAAAAAAAAATTTTCGAAAATACTTTATTTGGGAAAAATGCAAAACACCTTCAACAAAAAAAAAGCTCAAAAATCAACGCGATTTTGAACTAACTCTGAATTTACTACAATTTAATGGGCTAAAAAACTGCATGCTCAAGAAAATTCTAAAAATCTGACTAAAAAGTTGAAAATTTGCATGAAAACTTCCTGAAATTTGGCGAGTTTTGCACGAAGTTTAGAAATTATATATTTATGTGTTTTTTTTTTTGTAAATTAAACCATATTTTTATAAAAAATTTGCGAAAAAATATTAGAATAGAAACTGGTGCATATATTGTGCAAAATTCGTTGTGCCAATACGTTTTGCCTGCAGTGTATGCATAAGCTAAATACACAGTGAAATTAAATTCTCTCTGAATAATCTGAGTGAGTTTCTACCGAAAAAGGTTACCTTCTATTTGCCCTCTAAAAACAAGAGGGCAATGAAATGGCAAACTTTTTTGTATAAAAGAAAACGCTATAAGTAAAGTCTTTATACTTGGCGTCAGGCCATAAAATATTTAATTTTCAGCCAATACGAACATTTCCTCAACAATCATTTTAAGCTAGTGGAAGGAAAGATTCGAAGCTGCATTTATATTTATGAAGAAACAAAAGGCCAAAGAAATAAGTGATCAACTTTAACTTTGAATTCCAAAACTTTTACTAAATAAATATCCTCTCTTAAAAACTACTTCTCCACAAAAATAGTTCAGAGTAGCAAATTAACATTCTCAAGGAACATGCATACATATGTACAAATTACCGTTATATAAACGAGACATTTTTCAATTTACTTTAATCACACATATTTTCTCTGAACGCCACTATAAATCCTCATGACAATTGCAAGCTGGATAAGTGGGATACTAAGTTGATTATGAACTTTTACTTATTGTATTTAAAGCCCGAGAAGATACAGTCAGTCAATAAAGTTTAGGTACAGCGATTTTTTTTACAATACGGGCAACTATTTTTTAAATATTTTATTTTTCGATAATTTTGTATAAAAATACGGTCAATTCTACAACAAAAAACCCAAAAATCAGAGTTCCAACCCTTGTGCAAAATTAAAGAAAATTCGGCAACATTTCATACAAATATTGCTCTTTTTATTTACGCTCTCTAGAAAGAAGTTGAAAGGAGTTGAATTTTATTTAGTTTTTATGCATATGGCCCAATGTCATGAATGTTGTGTAAAATTCGAGCGAATTTTTTATTTCGATCAAAAATGTCTTCGGTGTTATCAGGGTTTTAATTGTTCGTCATTTTAGGTCATGACATACCGTTCTGATCTCGCTTTGACACCAAATTTAATATCGTCCAATCAACATTAATTTTCGCCGAACACTACTCGTGATAGCAAGGACTTCTATTAATTATTTATCTCCTACTATCGTCAGCAGTTTCGAAATAGTATTGCAAGCCTGTAAGCCGCTCTTGAGTCAGTTTTTTTTTTTTTTTTATATACCTGGCCCTCGCATTATTTTACAAAACATCTGACATAGCAAGCATATGTATGCTGAATCTAATACTTTTAATAAACTCACGTAAAAACAGTTTCTTTCCAAAAAATCAAATTGTTGCACTTTGTTTTATGCTATTTGCCTAACAGCCTCGGGAACTCTATTGATATGACTGACAATTGCCAAATTTTAGTGAGGAAAACGAAATGGTTCTCACTAGCTAAAGTGGTTTATCACGCTGGTGGCAAGCAATTGATAATGGTCCGTACATCCTCAGTGATTGCTATAATAATTTAACCCCGCTTGCTTTAGCAATCTACATATCTATTTAATAATGTAAATGTATGTAAGTATCTCACTAACTAAATGACTATTTTTTATTTATTTTTCAGACTTACTGCATGGCCGACTATGATATTTCCAGCATAGAACACGAATCACTTCTGTTCGTAGTTGCGTCTACATTTGGCAATGGTGATCCACCAGAAAATGGCGAGGTGAGTTAACTAAAAAAGTTTAACATTAAAGCTGGCAAGCCTTTAACGGCATGCCAGCAAGTGTTGGCTGCAAGCTGTTGCCAAAGAAAAGCAAAACAAAACACATTGTTGTGTACGCAGCACCACTGCGTATACGCAACATCAATTTGCTTGCATTTACACTCTGACACTAATGAGCTGCTAATGCCTGCCAGTTGCATGCGACTAATGACACGTTTTTTGTTTTTGTTTTTCCTTTTTTCTCATGCTTTTTTTACGTCGCACTTTTGCTGCGATTCGTCATCTCTGCCATTTGTCTTTCAACTGCAACTCCTCTTCAACTGCCAACTACTTACTTCAATTGCTTCATCATCATGGCTGCTTTGCGTGTAAATGCGCACTTCTTCATTTGCCTGATTATAGCTGTTCTCGCAAGATTTGTATGACCTGCGTGAAAATGCGGAAACGGCCAAGGATGAAAGGTAAGCGTTTTTTTTCTAGTTATTGCTTAGTTACTTTGGACTTTTATAGATTTATAAGGTTGAGGCTTTAAGTAGGAACAAAAACATTTTGTAGTGAGTTGGAAAAATTAAAATAAAAAAAATAAAAATAAATATTGGCATGAATCATTGTTAATTAAATGAAAGATACATGAAACCAAAAATTTTTAATTTGCAAATAATAATCAGTTTCAAATCTCAGTTTGTGGTAACGAATCTTGGATAAGGTTGCCATCTAATTAAAAAATTACAATCAATTTAGATAATTAAACATTGATAGTTAAACATAGCTTACCTCAAAACTCTTTGTTACATAAACATACATACATACATATGAATGCCACGCATCGTTATTGCACTTAATTTAAAAGAGCAATAAAATTAAAACACAAAAAACCACTTGCAATTCATTTGGCAAAACAGTTTTACATATTTGTGAATATACTGCTTCATTTTTATTCACTTCTGTGGCTTCGCCCACTATTCGAGACTCTGTAAAATTGTTCTGCCGTCCTTTGTTGCCGTCGCATTGTTTTGCAGCGAAATGTTCTGATTTTTTGGGCAACACTTTTAACTTCAACCTTGTTACCTCAACACTGACCACGCCGCGCACTCACTTTGCCCAATTCCACCTCAGGCCGCAATAAAACAAAAGTTCACTTTTACTCCCAGCCAGCTGCCCAGCTGATCCACGTACAAGCGAAAAAAAAACGAGAAAAAACTGTGGACCACACTGCATTTCCGATTCACCAACTTACACACATACGCAGTCATGCATGCATACATACATACATATGTACATATGTACATATATGTTGGAGTATATGAACAATCGCACATTTGTCCGTCCGTTAAATGACCTCAAGGCCAGCTGTGAGGGTGCGTTTTACAGGATATATTGCGGCGAAACAGTGAATATGCTTTGTACTTGTTTCGGATTTTTTTTTGCGAAGTTCCCTTTTTTCCCCGTATTCTTTTTTTTTCGTTGGTTTGCTGTAATTTTGTGCGTTTTGGCCGGCGGTCGCATGTTTT